TACGGGAAAAATATGAAAGGACGCACATTAAAGGCACTTACATCTTCAGACGAACGACGCGTTCTTCGGGAAGCGTCAAACTCACATTGCTCCGCATCTGCAATTCGCCTAAACTTGGGAATAAATGCAAGTGTTGAAACAGTGAGACGTGTTATACGGAAAGCAAAACACCTTAAAAGATTAAGACTAAAAAAAAAAACCACCTCTGACAAAGCCACGTAAAGACATGCGTCAGCTCTTTGCCCGAAATCATATGACATGGAATAAGGAGTGGCATCGAGTGCTTTTTTCTGATGAAAAACGATTCAATTTAGATGGACCTGATGGTTTCAACTTCTATTTCCATGATATACGTAAGGAGGAACACTACCTGGCTCGTCACCATAGCCGTGAAGGGGGTATTATGGTATGGGGCGCAATTTCATATTACGGGACAAGCGAGCTCAAATTTGTATCATCAAGCTAAACGCTACTTCATACAAAAGCTTGCTTGAGGAGGCATTTCCTTACTTTGGCAACATTTTTGAGCCTATATCTTGGATTTTCCAGCATGATAATGCCCCGGTTCATACCGCACGTGTAGTCAAAAACTGGATAAGCAAGCAGAACGTGTCCTTATTGGAGTGGCCCCCTTACTCTCCTGATCTCAATGTAATTGAGAATGTATGGGGATGGCTTACACGTAAAGTGTACGCGTCTGGAAGACAGTTTGCAGACGTCCAATCATTAACAGAAGCCATAGAAAGCGCCTGGAGCGAAATTTCATTAGACTATATAAAGTCCTTATATGATTCCCTTCCTCACCGAATCTACGAGGTTATTTCCAATAAAGGCGGTTACACACATTATTAATAAAGCCAATATTAATATAATAAAAAAAACTGTAAGGTCATTTTTTAATTAGCTTGCAACATATAGAATGTTAAAGTTTTTGTCCCTATTTAAGTGCATGGCAAAAATGGTGTGTTTTTGGCATAGTCAAAAGCAAAATAGTGATAATTCATAACTGTTAATCATTAAAAGCTAACTGTAAATTTTAACAGTTCCCTCCTGCTGCATTCTAATTGAAACACCAAAGCATCTAAAGCCAGCCCTTTCCCCAAAATAGAAAAACACAATACAAATGCTAGAAAATCTTGTCCCTATTCAAGTGCATGGCAGTGTATACGAATAGTATCGGAAAATAATCAAGCCGATTTTTTAGATAAATCAATATTTAATTCAATTTAATTTATAACTTCATTTCGAATATGTTCGATTTATTTCGATTGATTGTAATGTGAGTCGTGAGTAATTTACATATCCACCGAACTAATTGGGAACGAATAGAATAGACGATTTACTTCCATTTAATTTTTATAAAACTTCATTTCGAATATGATCGATTTAAATTGATTTATTGTCTTAAGTTATAATTAAAATTTCTTACTCAATGGCTTCCTGGGACATAAAATTACCATAAAATAATGACTATTGTCATGTTAATTGGTTCAAAATAATTTACGAATGCCTGCAACGAACTAATAATGAAAAAAAGACGTACAATGTATAAATGAACCTTACATACATACATATGTACTTGTAAGTAATATGTCATTAGTCGTTTACTAAAAAAATGATTACAAATTTCAGAATTTTCGCTGCTATATAAAATATACCCGTAATATGTGATGTGATTTTTCATAAATTGCACAGTTTGGCCGGCTTAAAAATCATATATGTATATATGGGTGGGAACAATTATGTAATAATATGATCTATACTGACCTTCTGCCGACTAATATATTTTGCCCGCGCACAAAAAAAAAAAAAATACATTACAATTTACTCATCGACCTGACTAATCGGTAGCTTTTGGAAAGAGTGCCCGCATCGACCCCCTTCAAAAACAAACGGTCACTCGCAGTGCGTTCAGTTGATCACATAGCCTTCTCATATAAGGAGTAAATCATGCTTGGAAAACCTTTATTAGTAGCCCTGCTGCTCGTATCAGTATGGTTCTGTTTGCTCTACGCACTATTTCTTGGGTGGGCTGGAACCTCACGAGCACCAATAATACAACTAGAAACATCAATAATGATAGGATCAGGGATAGTTTACAATAACTCGAGCTCTAGGATCATCCATTCCGATATCGTGAAGACTAAAGATGATGATGATGACGACGATGAAGCACCAATGGTCGATGACGACTGGAATCCGAGCACTTTAAAAACTGATGGAGTCGGGGCTTTAGACACATTGCGGCAATGTCCCACTTGTGGAAATGGAAAAGTCTGTATTAATGGAAGTTGTAAAACCAAATTATAAAATAAATAAAATGTACAGTGTGTATTCTTACCAAATGCTGTATATGGTGTGCTGTGAACAAAACTTGAGTAATTTATTTCACGTTCAACGAGTGCAAGATAAGAACATAAATTAACAAGCCCCTATTTGTGGTAAGCAGGTTTTTTTGGTCTCAAGTTTTATTTAAATATGAATATGTGAGGGTAGAACTTAACACTCATCATTTAAGTCGAGCCAGCATAATTTATTTAGCACAACAATATTTTAAAACATTATGTGAATACAAGTGGAGAAGCTAAAATATTCTGTACATATTAATAATTAATTATAGACATTTAAAACAAGAAAGGAAGGCTCAACTCGTAAATACCCTGTATCACTCCACAAAAAAAATTTAAAAATGTATAATTTAATTAATTAAATAAATTTAATATAAAATATTCCATACATGCATATATACATTTACATCAGAATCATGTCTATGCGTGTTTGTACATGTTTGTACATATGTATGTGTGCATAATTATGTCAAAGCAGCAACAAATACAGCAGCGTGCAGAGCTCGGGCTTGGTTATATGGCTATAACTTTCTTTCTAATCAATCTATCACAAAACTTGGGATACGGATACCAAGTTTGGTTATTCTAGCTCTTATACTTTCTGAAATCCTTGCGTTCATACAGACAGACGGACATGGCTATATCGATTCGGCTTGTCATCCTAATCAAGCATATATATACTTTGTGTGGTCTACCACGCCTCCTTCTGTGTGTTCCATGTACACTCGCACAAAACTAATATACCCTTTTACCCTTTGGGTACAAAGTATAAAAATGGAAAAAAGTAACAATATTTTAATTCTGCAAAATGTTTTTTGATCCATTATACCTTCTTGGGTATTAGAACTTACGTAAAGGGTGTATATCTGGGGGATTGTGTCTGTGTGTTTGTGTATCGTGTGATCCTCCTTGCCCCACTCCCCCGCAATTAGTGATTTTCCATAGCTCCCGCAAATAAAACAATATTATTTTATTTGGCAGATAATGTATCTATACGCTCAATGTTTCTACAAAGCTGATATAGCAACGATTGGAATCATGAAGTTCATTTAAGATGAGTGTGTGTATCCAAAGGGCGGGCACAGGGTATTCCAGAGTATTCGAGCTTCCACCCAGGGATTATTTGCCATCTGAAAAATAATACAATAAATGATTATTTTGCGCGGACGATTTTTGTGAGAATAAGAGCAACACATCACAAAAAGTCGGCCACTACTTGTATACTATACTTGTATTCAGTCCGCGGAGAAAAGTATGCAATGCATTTAAATCGTAAAGTTGGTTGGACTGAATTTTTGTAAGAACTTTACAAGTATATACTCATCAAACTCACTAGTCGTGAGCTTTTGTAAGCTTCTAAAAACATATGGCTAGTTGCCGGGCCTTCAGTTGATCACATAACGTAGCCATGGACGGAAGAAATCGTGCCTGGAAAAGCTTTATTCATAGGCCTGCTGCTCGCATCGGTATGGTTCTGTTTGCTCTTCACACTATTTCTTGGGTCGGCTGGAAACTTACGAATACCGAAACTACGACTAAAAACCTCAATAATGATAAGATCAGGGATAGTTTACAATAACTCAAGCACTCCGATATCGTGGAGACTAAATATGATGACGACGCAAATGGTGGATGACGACTGGAAACCGGCCACTTACAAAATCAATTGATGGGAAAATTTAGGAACACGGCTGCAAAAACCTGGCCCATCTGCACAATTCTTGAATAAGGAACAGTGTAAGGCCCTATGTAAAAATAAATAAAATGTAGAGTATTTTAACCAAATATTGTATACGATGTGCTGTACTAATAATATAATATTCTGTAATAGTGCTATAATAATTTATTTCAACATTAAAAAGTGCAAGATAACAAAATAAATAAACATACATACAGAAGACTTTGTTGATAATCAAGTAAACATATGTTATTGGCTGAAAGCTTAAATAGAATCAGCTGGAGAAGCTTCCATGAAATAAACCACATTTCTGGCTTTTTACTACTACTTTTTAGTTTATTATGTTTAGTTATTTGTGTTTATTTTTCAATTTTAAATTGTAAAGAATTTCTGCTTGAGCACCTAGATCTCAGAGACTGTAAGAGCTAGAGACACGAAATGTTGCGTTGTACTTGTATGTGTATGCAATACTTTACAAATTTTCCTCGAAAATTCTCAAAAAGAATCATAAAGACTTCTTCATCTGACACCACCACTATTTAACATGTGTCTATTCTCATTCAAAATGTAATTAACATTATATTTGGAAGGAAGAAACTGCGGTATTAATTATACTCGTACATACATAATAGTTATGGAATTTTGATTTTCATGAATGCGTTAAAAAAATGCTAACTTATAATCATATTTTGTGTTCTAGTTTGCTTACAAGTAAGTAAATGTCATTTTCAATTATACGAGTACATAATAATACAATTGAAAGATGTATGTATTACTGGAGTTGGGACTTCGTTTATTAAGTTTTCTCGCCATACTGTCCCTTGTCTGAGCATTTTGAAGCTTTTGCTCAAGCTTGGATCTAACCCAACGGACGCTTGTTCACAAAATAAAAAGCTTGAGCCGCGATCATAAAGCTCTCAAAGCCGGTTAAATATTTAATTGCTTTGCTCAGTTTAGCAGTTGCCGTCGTTAAGGTGTATGGGCCAAGTCAGTGAGCATATAATTATTTTAAGAATCAGCAGATGGCAAGATGTTGGAAATAAGTTGGAAGATGATGTGCGCGTTTCTGTTATTGTTTTGCCTTCGATTCCAAGTGCCGACAGCAGCGCCACCCGGGATCCAAAATGTCAGTTGCAATGTGATTAAGATGCCGATGGGGCAAGTCGTGAACGAGACCATGCAACCACAACGGGACCCGCCAGTGCTGCAGAGCGTTTTTGATTGGCCACCCAGCTGTCCGCCGGGCTTTGAATTGACCGGAGAACGTCAACGTTGTCGCAAGAAGGTCTAAAGAACTCAGCCGACTCTAGTCAACAAGCGATACAAAGATACGAAGATACATGCTTGCGATAACAAAATGTGAATAAACACTACAATAAAATGGAAAGAGTAAAAAACTTTTTGCAATTCTTGTATAGTAAATGGGTCAGACCTCGCTTAAGAATTTCGGCGCCGTTTCCACTTCCAAAATCTCCAACACAGCATTCATTATTTCAAAAATGTGTTTTATTGACAGTTATTTAAGGTTTCGATTTAGTATGAAGACGTGCTCTTTGCTGCCTTTTTACAGACTACAGCTGTATGAGTATGCAATAAATTACTGCCTCACTTATCAAACACGAGTATGTTCATACTTACTTATAGTATTTAGTATTTATATAAATTAAAGTCATCCACAATTTGGGTTTTAGGCACGCCGCCGACAACGTCCGGCACCCAGCACCCAACCCGCTGGACATTTATGGGACATGGCTGCTGCCGGTGCCAAGATAGTTGCTAACAGATATATCAGCAGAATTAGGCGTATTAACTGATATAGGAAGGTGTGCGACATCTGGTATTAATACTATAGCTATAACGTGACAACGATTTGCTTTCGAACTGCCGACCTACTTGGTGCGCGTTTCAATTTTAACTGAACTTCGGGTCACTATGCGTATTGCTTTATATATGGGACTGCATTTGGATTGGAACAACAAGGAGCGGGAGTACTAGTATATAATACATTCATAAATAATTGTTATAGCTATGGCTACTTTCCGTTATCTTTGTTTTCGGACCAATCGCATTACTCAGAAACTCATGTTGTTTATGAGGCCTTTGGGATTCGTTTAGATGGAATTACAACAAGAGCCACCCAGTTCCGTTCATTTGTTATTGTTTTGTTGGTGTCTAGTGTTGTGTTGTTATTAGTTTTTATATAAAAGCGGTTGGGTCTTTGTTTAATGGCGTCACATGCTGTTTTTTTAAACGTACGAGAACGTATTTATTAAATTTTATTTATAGTAACACTCGATTACATTATGAATCAACGGTCACTTGCTTACGCAGACTTGCGACAACGTCCGCCCAGATATTGCATTCCGTCTGGACAATTTGGCAGAGTTTCAAATATGTTGCGATTGTCGACAGACCCCGGCTTGACAGCCCCAGCTCCCCCTTCCGTAGGGTTACTCTGAATGGCTTGCTCCAGGTCTTGATGCGGCTGCTGTGTGGCTAGTTCAGGCGACAAAAACTCTTTGTTTGTGTTGAAAAAGTTGGACAGATCGATTTTCTGATCATTGCCATTGGAGGATGTACCACCGGTTTGTGAGTCCTGGCCTGGACGCGGTTGAAAACTAGCAGCTGGCTGCTGGAAGTTAAAACTTGATAAATCATTCCCACCTGACTGTGGACCCTGCTCGAAAGCTCCTCCTTGACCCACACCAGGTTGTTGGAAGTCAAAAGTCTGCGGACTATTGCCACCCCGCTGTGCAGATTGTCCAGGAGCTTGTTGGAAAGGTCCGGCAGCTTGGCCCACATTGGGTTGTTGGAAGTCAAGTATGGATGGACTATTGCCACCCGGCTGCGGAGATTGACCCGCACCAGGCTGTTGGAAATCAAATGTCGATGGACTATTGCCACCCGGCTGTGGAGCTTGGCCTGAACCTTGCTGGAAGGGCCCACCAGCTTCACCCGCGCCTGGCCGTTGCAATCCAAAGTCGTTTACACCACTGCCTCCAAATTGCGAACCTTGACCTCGGCTACCTACACCAAGTTCAGATGCACCTGGGCCAAATGGTTGCTGTCCACCAAACTGACCTCCTGGAGTGGGTTGTCGAAAGCCATACTGTGGGTTTACATTAAAATTCGGGCGTGGTGGGAAGTAGCCCTGTTGATCAGGTCTTCCGCGTCCCCCTAGAAGAGGTGCCTGATTGTTCCATCCAGGCTGATAAGGTGGATAGTTAGGTTCATAGTGGGGATTATTGTATTGATGATGGCCATGATGCGATCCACGATGATGATGATGGTGGAAGTCAGGCCTAGGTGCGTCGTAAAAGCAATTCAGGTAAAGAGTAGCTTATTTCCGATAATACGCACCTCTGTGGCTGTCCGTAGCCCCAACCCTCGCCTTGTCCACTGTAAGTGGGACTTATGCCCTGCGTCTGATCTGCATTGAAACGCTCGTTATTAGGGGGTGGTGGGGCAAGTGCTAGGTGCGCACTTAGCAGCGCTATCAGCAACTGTACAGATAAGCGCTTGGGAAACATTTTTGCGACCACCTCTGATTCGAATTTGTCGCGTGTTCGATTGAGACTGATGCGAATTTCTATAGATTTCATATATTATATTCATCTTAGCACTTCACACTGATCAGTGCTGAGCTTCTCGACCTTAGCCGCTGATAAGCTTCTGTGCTCAGCTGTTGAGAGGCACATCTTTGTAAAAGTTGATGGTTGGGAGATCGTAAGAGTATCAATTGAATTTTATTTGATGGACACAGCTGTACGAAAATCCACAAGCCAACCTATGATTATTATTCGTTTTATCACTTTTCAAATATTTACACTCGCAGTAGATTTCATTCATTATCAGTTCAATGACGCAGCCGTCAAAATATAAACATTTGCTAATCGATACAAGAGTAAGGAAAGAAAGATTGTATTGAAAATTTAGCAAATACCAGAACGGATTTATTTAATACATTTCTTTCTAGTATAATATTTGCTTAATTCATGAAACAATAGAAGTAAATATAAATAACGCTCTTATCTCACAACAGCTGCCTACGTGGGGAAGTACCGGCGATGGGCATTCGAAAGCTTAAAGAGCGTTGCTTTGAAGGTGCTTGTTGCTTCGCTCTCCGCTGCTCATATTTTGCTCTGGGAAAGTTGACTCCACAATTACCATAATTAAATATTGGCTGCTTGAGTTCCAGCGTGGCAGTACGAAAAGAAAGATCGATAAGAAGAAATTGGGGAGCCCATTTAGAGGAGGTATAGAATAAATTGTATATGAAAACAAATCAAGAATTCTTTACAAACTTTCTTGCAAACAGAATGTACAGAAACTGTTTATTATGTTTGATAACAATGTATATCCAAACTACTATTCACCTAGTGTTTTGAATATACTTTATTCACAAAAAAAAGTCTAAGAAATATAGTTATGGTGTCCAATATTTACTTGTAGAAGAAGCCGTTGGAACTAATACTAGCAGTTCCACTTTCATGTAGCTTCTTGCCTCACTCAAGTTTTCATATTAAGCCCAATTATTGTTCCTATGGCAGTGGTTTGTATGTGTAGTGTTTGTAGTCCGAATATATGTTAATCAATGTGACAAATATCAACAATATTTTGAACAAATATAAGCTCCTTTGTTAAACAAATAAACTCCTCCTTTCTCGTTTTAATGAAATATCGATTAACCTGTTTCTCTATTTTGAATTATTATTTACACCATAACTTTGAATGAGGAAGCAAATGTTCTATCCAAATCTCCAAATCTCCATTATTATGGTTACAAATGTGTGATTTGATGTATTTTTTGTTTGGGCCTTTACATTTCAAAGCGACTCGAAAAACTCTCTTAATGGGTGGCGTGTATTACTAGCATTCACTCGCTTTTGTTAACCTCTAAAATGCATCGTAGATAGTTTAAAAATATATACACTTTCAAGGTAATGTACTTCCAAACATTCCGGCACTGACTCATGCACTTTAAACACATTTTAATTATAGCTCCCATGGGATGCTGTAATTCGGCATAACTTTAATGACTTTTGTTATTTTCTAAGCGAATAACTTGCTATTGCACATACATACTATATACATGAAAATACTTACTGAAAATGTGGGGAAATGCACGCCTTGAGAATACGTTTCATTTTTGTGCTATTATTTAGTATCAGTTTATTACTTAAGCGCTACATAGACGTCAGTCATTACGGGATCAACTAACCTAAAGTATGATGAAGGAACATTCCGCTAGGCCGACTTGCGACAACGGCCTGCTCGCAACTCTAGGCCGGGCCCACATTTGGGCAACGAGTCCAGTGCTATGCGATTGTCAAAAGCCAGCGGAATTGATTCTGCCGTAGTATTGGCATTGGTTTTGTTTAGAGCCAAGTCTGGCATGACGGCGGCGGTGCTGTTCACTGCCGGCAACAACGTAGTTGTCTCATCTATAGGCGACGGTGAGGTCCCATTCAGTGCAACAACAAATTTCTCGAATTTATCGTAATCGTCATCTTCCGGAAATACGATGCGATCGTCTTTGATGGCTGGCGTGCCGCTACAGACTCGCGCCTGGGCCCCAAGCGTACAACACACGATTGTGATCAGTGGCAGAAGGCACCACAATGCCATAGTAATGAACTGGGAGTGCACTGGGTCTGGTGGGTGAGATGCGAAATGCGAATGAGAAAACGCGTTTGGCTGCTTCAACTGAGCTTTTTGGACTGAGCGGCAAGTTAAGCAGCCAGCTGGTTAGTGTAGAGATGATGTTCGGCGTCACAATTGGAGACAGCCAGACAGACAGCTAGGCAGACAAACAGAGAGACAATCGGAGAGACAATCGGAGAGACAAACAACAAGTTGGTAGCCTGTCCGGGCAGCCAACTGTTGCGATAAGAATTGATTGCTATTACCATTGTTATTGCTTGTAGAGTGGCGTACGGCAAGGTAAGTAAACAAACTGAGGCTGCTCGAGAAGTCTGGGAACTAGTATGTACGAGTAGTAGTATGCATGGCTGATTTCAGTCTCTGATGTGGAAGCTTTTTCGGCATCAGTTTGTACAGTTAATTGCGGCATAAAGTAAACAAAATTATTCACGATACTGAAAGCTCTTTCGAATTGTCCAAAACTAGGCAATTCCAGGCAATAATTTCCGATTTAGTTCAAGTCTTTGTTTGTTTTATGTAATCTCTTTATTGCATACAAAATAACTACAACTATTCTAAGCCGCCTTGTGGCAACGATCAGCCACCAGCTTGAAACCCTCTCCACATTTTGGCACTGTGTCCAGAGTAATGCGTGTTTGAATCGGAATTGTGGTTATATTTTCGCTATCCTTGAGTATTGTCTGATTAACTGGCATCACCATCGGCCGTTCCTCTGGCTGACTTGGCCTTGTCTGCACTGTCGCGTTTTGAGGCCTTTCCGATCTGTCGATCTGTCTTGAAAGGTCTTCCTGCGACGCCTGTTTATCCCGCATTTCATAATTTGTTTGGTTATCACTCGGAAATATAATGCGGTCATCGCGAAGTTTAGGTGTTTCTAGTGAGTTTACCAACAATGGCAGCAACAACATCAACAGTACAGACAATGACGAAACCGGCAATCTGAGTTTTATTGCGACGAAATGCATCGCGAGCTTAGTTCAGTTTCTCGTTGAGATAACACGTTCTCACCCGCCAGATTCGCATTCGAGACTAAAGCTGGGTGTGCAGCCGTGTGTCGAGTTCCCCCCACAATACCTCACTCAGTTGAACTAGCGATGTCGATAATGTTGAAAAGCAAACATTATATTACATTTTACATAATTCTTTAAGGTGTATACTTAATGCATACTATATACGAGTATATGTAGATTGAGTGAACTAAAGCATCGAATAGCACATGTACTATATAAGGCTTAATTATACTTAATACCCCATACTGTAGAATCTCTTTGAAGCTAAAGGAGGGGAATTAGTTGTTATAACTACACAATACTTTAATGGACCAACTCGCGGGCTCCCATCAAATGAAATAACTGTAAGCCAGGATACAAATGTTTCCGTCTTGGCGATGACTTGGAAAGCTCTAGAATTCCTAAATCATGAATTATAATCCATTCACCTTCAGAAGTACAACAACGTCTGGTTGATCGTAGAAGCATATCCAGAGACTAACTGATTGAGAGCAGAGAAGGTAATGATTATTAAGATTTGCAATTCAGAACGTCGTAGTAATGTGCTTGGAAATAAAAGGTTCACTCGCTCACTGAAAATAATCAATTAGGTCACCTAACAGTTATCTGCTGTGAACCTCGCTACAAATTAATTTTCTTTTTTTTTTTAATTAGCAGGAAAGTTGGTACACAAAACCAAAACTCTCAACTTTATGAAAGAAGTAAAATTTACTGATACATTTTTTATATTACGAGTATAAATAATTTGTTTTGCATGAATTTTTCATATCAAGATGGACTTGAAATGTAAACGCCTAGAATATTTTTTTAACGACATACCTAGAGTAACACTCATTTCCAATACTTGCTGAACACTTCAAACGAATTAGTCTGTCTTAGCTACAAAAGGGTTAAGTTATTTATCGATCCTCGTAATGTCAGTTTATTAATTCATTTCTTGATGTTACTGAGGAAAATGCACTTAACCATCATTAATAATTAAATTTATTTTGTTCACTTCAATTTTCACAACAGTATTCTATTTTACTCGCTTGTGGCAATGCTTATTGGCGAATATATATCCGGGTGGGCAGCTGGCCTCCAGTATATTGTAGGGTTGTACCAACACTGTTTCCGGATCGTTCTGGTTATCTGGCTCAGTATTTATAACGGGTAACTTAGTCGTGCCATCTGATAAGACCGCTTCTATAATTTCGCTGGAACTTTGGGAGAGTGAGCCTTTGAGGGCCAGCATAAGCAGACACAATAGGAGACTCCACCAGGTAGGAATGTGCATTTCAAACAATCTGTTTCCGAACTAGTAATCCAAGCAGCCACTAAGCTCGACAATTAACAACTGATTTGAACTATTTGGTATTCGTGCGTATGTCGACTCTGAGCCTAGACGATTCGGTTATTTCGAAAGCAGTTTTCGCTTTATAAGGCGCGGCACTTGAAGCTCTTCGTTTTGAAAGCCAATTGTCTTGAGTTTTGGCCACTTGAATGTTTGTTATGATGTCAAGGCTGGTCTACAACTCAAGGCGAATCAAAAATAATGAACAACATATTTGTGTACTCAACTCGTATTTGCAATCACAAGCTGCATAAGAAGTTGCCTGCAACGTACTTACTATACATATCTATATACTTGTATGTATGTATGTATGTATATATTGACTTGCTGCCAAAGTCAAACAATAAATGGAAATTCTAAAGGCGCAATCAATGCCAAAAAATAAGAGAACGCCCAGCGCATGGCAAATGCGAAATAAAGGCTTTTATCAAAATGAATAAATAAAAGAAAAGGGCAAATATTTGCTGATTACTTTTCTAAGTTGTGTTGATTAACAACCGCTTGTGCAGGAACTTACATATAGTATTTCCACTTACTTCCTTTTGTCTGCCAGCCAGACACGACTGTTTTGTATTTCCTACCCCCCCTTCAAATCCCCTACTTGTGCATTAAGACAAAAGCCGCTGCTGCAATTAGAGTTGTTCGTTTTGTCATTCACTTAGCCACCTCGCCAGACATAAAAAAATATCTCGACGTGTCCTGGCCATTGACTGCCGCATTTTATTAGGCACGCACGCACACTTTCTGATATATACTTGTACATATTTAGCATACATTGGGCTGCTTCCTTCGGTTTAGCCATAAATAAGGTATGCACCCGTACTACAAGTATATGTGCCAGTATCCGGCCTCTCGTTAGTTGCTCGCATCAGCTGTCTGCGAGAGCGAGGCGCATTATTTTAATGTTTTTTTATATACTCGTACTGCGCATTTCCATTTTCGTATTTGCTTCGTTTCGCACTTTTCCGCAACGTTCATTTGGCCGGCAACCCAAAAAGGTTGCCCTGCCGCCACCTTAGTTAGACGTGGAGTGGAGCGGGCGGAGTCTGCAAAATTATGCCATTTAAAATGACATTTTTATGTTATAAATTTTTTCTGCCTCTGCCGCGAAAATTATGCTACTTACGAGTACACGCAGCCACTCCTCTAATGATGAGGGTGCGTGGCACAGTCAGCGATGGGGTCGGGGAAGACGGTGGTTGCGACTTCACAGCAGTGGCAATGTTGACAATAGAATTGTCAAAATTATTAGCCTAAATTGCTGACATTTATTAGCGGCAGTGTCTCAAGTTACCCCGCAATGGGCGCCAAGGGGAGGGTAAAAAATGGTGGCGTATGACCCATTTAAGTGATATGCCAAGTGTGCTTGACTTTCTTAAGTAAGAGTGGCAACTGACATAAAAATGGGCATATGTTGGGAAATGTTGCGGATGCCGAAAGTTGGAAACCCATTACTAATGACATTACTCGCATGGAAGAATAAATCGAAATAATACGTAAAAAAGACACTCCTAAGTTTTGGAAATTCAATGAGACTTTGGCGAAATTGACTTTCGTTCCAAATTAAATACGTAAATGTTAAACGTAAACAAAAACTTCTCATCATCTGGTCCAACCACGGATGCATAGCTGGTCAACTGGCCCCCAACGTATCGGAGGCATTAATAGACGTTATTATACAGCTTTGTGTTAGGCTTTCTTATCTTTTAAGTTTAGTTTAAATTGTTATATTGAGTTATATCATTATTTTATTTTTTGTCATATTTTAATTATTATAATCGACAGAATTATTGTTGATGTACTAAATAAAATAAAATTTTGGTGGTATGATGAGATGAAGTTCCGAACGCAAGTCTATTGTTAATCCAAGAAATTATGAACCAATTAATTTTTATTTATGGATCACATATACGTTGAACCGCTCTCTCTGAAACTTAAAAATATGGTGAGGAATTAAGATTACTGCACAGATCATTTGTAGGGGAACTATTTGATACATGTTATAAGATTAATCGTCAGAATATAAAGTAAATCTTCCAAAACCGACAAGTAACACATTTGGTTCCGGTTTCGTAATAAACGAATATTTTTATATGACTATATATACTATACATATGCATGAATTTACAAATATTATAAAAACATCATCACACCCTTAAATAAAAAGGTAGACAGCTCAGCATGGAAAGCAGCAAGGACCGGCTATGGACAAAACGCATTATTGGAAAGCTATTATTAGCTCGGAAGAGACTGAAATGTTTACAGGATCGGCATTTACTGTAAAAGAATCTGCACACCAAGTTTGATCCATATAGAACAAGCCGTTTCCGACATACAGGCGTTCATCCAGACAGACAGACAGACAGTCAGACGGACGCACATGTCGGGATCGATTTCTCTAGATGTTGGAAATATTTCCTTCTACCTGTTTCATCGTAATACAACCTTTTAAGGGCAAAAAAAAGGCATATTTCAGACAACTTCCGGAAGATAGGGGAGAACACAACATTTATTTACGATGTACTCGTTTTTTCACAACCAAAATATTCTTACGATAAAAAATTTAATTATATGTGATTGGCATCGCTGTTTATAACGCATTGAGAGCTCGATACACCATGAACTTGTGTTTAATTGATTAATAAATAGCAATGTACGAGTATGTACTATACGGACATTGATACGTACACATGTTTGTACATATTTGCCTTCAAGTGCGTGTCTCGTATATTAAAGAAATAAGCACTTACCATTTCACTTCGTTGCTGATAAGCAATTAGGGAACAACAATTAGGAAATTGAAACAAAACTAACCATACGGGGACTCTCAACATTTAATTATAATTGGAAATTTATTGCAAAGAAATCGTGGTTTACAAACAACATATATCCCAGTTCGCCGGATTCGTGATTAAAGAAAATATTTTCAGCGCCCAAGTGGGGGCCTGCTGCTAGATCTGAGCACTCGATGCTCGGAAATGTTAATACTGGCACAATTTGAATTATAAATTAGAGTTCGATGTCAAGTGGATGTCTACGTAAATGAGGACTTGAACGTGTATTAGAAAGCTCTAATGATTTTTAACTAATGATTTTTTACTTTCTAATTGATTGTTTATCGTAAGGAAAAATATGATATATTCAAGAAACACCCGTGCAACGACTAAATTACTTGATCTTTAATGAACGAATGGATTTGTAAAGCACAGCGCATTAGTTTTTTGGACAGATTACTATATTTAAACAAACATTTTCAAAATCGTGGATTCGCATCAAGGATTATACTACTATTACGTTAGCTTAATCAAAACGCTGTCTAATATTTCCGGCTGGGTGTTGGATTGGCGGAAGATAAACCCAGATCAAGTTGAAGAAGTTTCTCTTTGAAAAAGTAAACAAATATAAGTAATACCGCTGAAATGAATCTTAAATGCGCTTTAGAAATTAAATTAAATTAGATGCGCAAGCACGTTTTTGCTTTACACAGCTGGATATAATAGCACTAGAATTCGGAATATTCTTGACCAAAAGCTGATTCGTTTTCGTTTGCTTTGCATCTGAGCCTGAATAGCGAAATATAGCAACGTTCAAGTAGGTCTTTAAACATACAACAAGAATAATCAACCCATTAATGATAAGTACTAACAAGTTTTTACAAAAGCAGATGCGCCGACCCTTTTTGAAAATGGCGGTAAATCGATTAAGCCTATTTTCTTTCGATAATATCTATCCAAATTAGCTCAGCGTTGTGTGGATTAATGGAGCGCCAATGCATCCCAGCTAGCCCTAAGCAAAGCACTTGTGTAATCATGGGCCGTCATAAGTTAAAACTCCATTAGCTTCCGGCCACATTAACACAAATGCAGGCAAGCAGCGGCCGGACACATGTCAATGTCCTCGTACTACCATACTTGTGTGCAACGTGGATGGACATGGAAGTAGTCTCCATCATTTACAGGTAGCAGCTGCATTGACGACCACCAAACATTTCCCATTGACACATCAAGCCCAACCCAGACCTGCACCTGGCCCCAAGTCCTTTTCTAAAAGTCCAACATGTGTTGTATTAATTCATGCTGCCTGCATAAAATATGACTTCACTTAGCAGCGCCCCATCCACCCATCCACCCAGCTACCCAGCCACCCAGCCGGAGTGTGAAGCCACCTTCCGTCAGTGAGGCAAACGAATGAACAAAGGCTCGTCATGTTCGTGGTCGTGGTTGTGGGCAACCAGCGGCGCTGAATAGGTTAATTAAGCGCCTCACGGCCAAAAACATAATTTAAAGTCATTTATCAGTTGACGAAATGACGGCTCGTCGCTTTTAGAATGTAAATTGAGGATGTCTGTGGCAATCTAGATGGGGAGGCGTACTCATAGATCTACTCGTATTTCGGGAACTGGCAACTGGCAACTGACCCCACGGCCAACACAATATACTCTGATAGATTCATTTTGTGCTCTGTTTATTAAAGGTGTCAGTTGATTCACTGATGCTTGCCCAATGGGTTGCCCAGCCAAGGGTAGACTTCAGGACACTTGTCGCATACGCTCATGTAGCGCTCCTCGCCCGTGGAGAGTTTCTGGACATTGCAGCTGAATGGCTCGCAGGTAGACTTAGGCTTTTCCTCACATGATTTAAATGGCTTGCCCAAGGACGGATTTCTAACGTACTCCAACATGCGTGAGATTGACGTCAGGTAGACATCTGGCATTGTGGTCAAGTGGTTAAGGAATCTAGAGACATTGAAATCTTGAAGTAATTGTCGGAGACAGTCCGAAGCAAGACTTACTTCTTGAGAGCTGCAAAGTGATTAGCGCCGCGGGCAAACCAAGCGGCATGCAGATATATTCCGAAAGGTGCACGATTTCCTTTATAATGGCGGTTGAAATTCTCCAGCATCCACTCAAATAACACATCAACATTGTCCTCGGGTGGATAGACACAAGCATCGAACATGGAACACTTGTAGCCTTCAGTATCGGTCCATGTAACCATGGGATCGACCCACATTCCGGGAAAGGATGCGGTGGGACAGGGTCCGATTTGACAGTCCTGAGACGACAAATAATCCAAAGTATAGGGCCACATGGGAGGGTTCGTGTGCTGCTGCGTGGGCCAGGAGCTGTCGTAGGTCAAGCCCAGATTCTTTGCTGCTTGGAAGGTATTGTTGCCCGAAATTTGCAGGAAAGGCAATCGCATGCCGTGCACGCTCTTCGGATCGACCTTGGCAAAGGCTTCAAGTATTGTCAGCTGATCGCCAAACTCTTGCTCGATAGTCGAAACATTAGCCTCACGCCAGTAATCTGTACCATCACCGTGGGTTACGGAGTGCAAAGCGATCTCGTGACCTTCATTGTACAGCGCATTCACACGCACATAGTCGGTGTATTCGTGCGATAGGAAGAAAGTTGCAGCTGCGGAGCAGTTGTCCGGGTTGACAAGACCTTCGAAAAGTAGCTCGTATTGAGCATAGTTGACGGCATTGACCGCATCATCAAAGGTCACCGTCACAATCTGAGAAACAATAAGAGAGTGTCAGTTTAATTGCAAGACCTACATGGAGCTGATTTCAAACCTGTGGTATCTCCTGTTCCTTGCCCTTAAACTTTTGTTTTGGCAGTACGACTCCTGAACAGCGGCAATCGGGAAGCTTGCACTTGGCTTCTGTGCAGAGTTCCGCCTTTTTCAGTTCCAGTTTTTTCTGCTTTTGCTTTTTCTCCTGTTGCTTCTTCTGCTCTTTCTTCTTTGGCACACTCTTTTTCACCTCTTTCTTTTTGAGTTCTTTATCCTCCATTTCCTTCTTTTCAGGCTCTTCTTTCTCAACTTCTTCGCTGTGCAATTCCTTCTTATCTTGTTCATCCTTCTGCTCTTCTTCCTTTTCTAGTTTTTCCTTTACTGGTTCTTTTTCTTGCTTCTTCTTTTCTTCCTCTGGCTTCTGTTTCTTCAGGTCCTGCTTTTCCGGTTGTGTTTTCTCTAGCTCCTCTTGTTCTTCTTTGTCGGCTTCCTTCTCCTTATCCTTTTCACTTCTTACGCTCTTTGGCTTGTTGGCCTTTCCGTCTTCCTGCTTCTTCTCGTCTTCGTTTTCCTGTTGTTCCTTTTTCGGTTCTCCTTTTTCCTCTTCCTTCTCCTTCAGTTCCTCGTTTTCCACTTCTTCAGCACCCAGCTTTTCCTTTTCTGGCTGTGGTTTTGGCTCTTGCTTATCATCTTTCTTCTCCGCTTGTATTTTCTCTAGTTCTTTTTTCTCTGGTTTCTTGTTCTCTTCTTTCTTCTTATCTAGTTCTTCATTGTCCTGTTCCTTATTCTCCGATTCATTTTTTTGAATATCTAGCTCCTCCAGTTCTGCCTTGTCTCCTTCATTCTCGTTATCCTTGTCACTCCTTGCGCTCTTTGGCTTGCTGGCCTTTCCTGCTTCGGTGAGCAGGATGACACTCAGAAGAAGCCCAAATACTAGAATCGTTGCGTATTTCATGCTGGAACGTTTTTTGCGTCTCCATGCGCCGTCGAAGATGACGGGCTTTTTATAACTTTGGCTAGAATTGCGGGAAATTATCTTATCAAGAGTTGGAACATGTTCTAGTTGTCGAACACTCATGCGACTTTTGACAAAGGTGCGCTTATTTATTTGGCAATTTTCTTGTCCGTATTGACAAAAATCATTAATTTGATAATTAGCGATCGCAGTCTATTTATGTTGAAGTCAGAAAAAAGGAAGGAAAAAGTGCAAAATAGTGAAATATTAACGGAAGCAGCTGATTCGATGAACATGCCATATCCTAGTTCCAATATATGGCCAATTCAGCTCATGTAACAAATATGTAAAATGTCACATATATTTGATGAATAAATTTAAAAACAGGAATATGCTACCATTATTGAAAATCATAAGAAAAAACTATCCAATAATTATGGCATTTGAGAATGATTCCTTCGCATAACTATAATAAATAATTGAAATGTTCATGAGCATGAAAGATAATTTTTGCATCGTACTCCCATTCCGACTCTCAACAATGCTGAGGACTTCTTTTGCCCTTCAGTCCGAATGAAGTCGGTAACTACAATTGATAATTTCAACAATCGTTTTCGAAAACTTTCAATTACCCATTGGCAAACAACAAAACTTGCCTCATTAGCATAGCAGAACTTAACAGCTGAGATTTTCGTTCGACTATGCTCCTACTCGTACAAGTATAGTAAGTGGAAAACTTTTCATGCCAAAGCAGGGGTAGATCTAGCAAGATGGCATAAGCTGTAACAGCAAATTATGACAGGCAACAAATGCACTTGAAACCGTAAACAAGTGCTCGAAAGTTTTGTGGCACGACAAAAACTCTTAAAACAAAGCCACGCGCCGCACCCAAATCCGAGACCCAGTCCGTGTTAGCACCCACATCAACATCCACATCAACATCCGGACCGCAAAGTGCGACCCCAACTTTTGGCTACGTGCCTGCGCAGCTCGCAGCCAATCAGACAAAGGTGCTGGAGGCGGGGGCACCAAGGGGTCAAAACTATTGAAAATCGGCGAACACAACCGTCAAAAAGTCAATAGTCGGCAGGCGAGCATCGAAATTGAAAAATCAAATCTTTAAGTCCTCATAGTCGTCGGTCAATCTTCAGTTTCCTATTTCCAGTGGCCAGTTGTGCCGCGAACAGCGGCCAACAGGAGAATGAAGCGCAGCCCGCCCTATCGCGCAGCCTAATGCAGCAGCAGTCGCCTGCAACATTCCTTCTGCTGACTGACATGGTGCACGCCTACAATTCTTTTTGGTCACGTTCTGGGGCGTTGCTTGGCAGACTCACTCACACACACTAGCAGGCGCGAACGCGCCTGTTTGGTAGGTGCCACTGCCACGTGCTCGAGCAACCACCAACCGGCAAACGTCAGCGTAAAATATAAACCCAAATCCTGCCTGCCTGCCTCCCCAGTTGGTTGTCGATTCGTGTTCGTGTCTGCTCGGCTGGGTTGCAGTTGTAGGGGCAATGTTCGAGGACTCCCAGCCGACCAACATGTTTGAGTGGGTTCGATGGCTAGATGGTCTATATGTGAGGAGATGCAGCGCTCGAACATACGCGACGTATGAGTAATGTTGTGTTATGTCAGAAACAATGAAAATTTGTAAAAATAATTAATGCTGCAACAACTACGAGTACATACTGGCCTAAAAAATCTCACAGACTTTGTTTTTGACTAAAACTCACAAAAAACAGACCTTTCAAAAATTATTAGCCTGACGCTGTGAATTTTATTGCCATCTTTTATTTTTCTTGTTCTCTATTGACCTTCTTAGATGAAAACTTAATTATTTTCGTATGAGACAAAACCTAATGTCTGAGAAAATAAAAATTGTATATAACCATGCCGCCAGCCTTATTGTACCAATCATATTTATGATATCATTAAGAAATTGAAGATGACAGTGGGGCATAAACGCCCTTTGAATATAGGGTACACAAAATACATAAAATGTGTGAGTACAAGTATGTCAAACAAATTTAGTATTTTCATGGCCGATAAATTATGCTTCAACACTTTTCATGAGCTGTAGAAAAATATGTAATATCTTCGTTTGCAAATCCCATATTTATCTTCATGCAATTGTATAACTGCTCTGAACAAAGATGAGGTCGACTTGCAATCTTTTTGAGATCTGAAGAAACATTTCAGTTATTTCCCATAACTCAGCCAATTTGTTGAGCATATGCCCAACCCCGAATTTGTATTTGGCGTTTTCCTGCATGATGCATCCCAAAGAACTTGAATTTATTTATTTCGTGTGCAATAAGTTCGTTAAGAGGGCGTTGGTGCGTAAAATCAAAGGCGAAATCAGTCAAGAGTGAGTTACGTTTGGTAATCAGAAAGTGCTCTGCCAACTATATTACTGACACGTTTCCAACTCCCAACCACACCCATACTCGTACTCGCCCGACCTATATGATCACGTGCATAAACTGCTTAAAAATGTAAATTTTGTGCACATAAAAAAATGTTAACTCATATACATATATGTATGTGTAGGTACAGGGAAGCATGCATACCTTTTTGAATTTCCCAAGTGGACCAGACACGCGCCACACAAAGGCACAAAAGCCCCACCCTATGAGAGTTACACGCACGTCTGCGTCTTTTGCAAAACTACAGAGAGATGCGGTAGGCAGGCTAGCTGTGGTGGCTCTGCCGTTTGCCAATTTTCGTGATAATCACACAACTAATTTGCATATCCTTAGAACATAGTGTGGCGCAAATCTGCGCTAATGAAATCAACAAAAGCCAAACCCAATTTGTAGCTAAGAGGAACCAAATTTAAAAAAGCAAAATACACTCAGAGCAATAAGTGAGTAACCAATTTCATGTTTGCCAGTGGAACTCGATTTGTTCTTTTCTAACGTTTTCTTAAACCAATCTTAGTAGTCTACAATAGTTTGTCTACAATAGTTATATTTAATTTTTAGTTAACTTTAATCACATTGGTTGTTGTTTTATCCAAAGTGTTCCTTAAAATAGACCAAATACCATACTGGCATTGAAGTTTCTCCCACCGGATTGGAGATTGGAGATTTACCTCCTTTTGTTTCCTAATTATTATAATTATCTCCTAATAAGAACTTAGTTTTTCCTCTACTTATTATTTTTTTTATGGTCTATAATGTCTCTGATAACACTTGGCCGGGGCATAGCTGGCCATATGGTAAATAAAATTCCGTTTTGGAACGTGTTATTTTATTTTCAGTGCACAGCATATTTTCCACCACGCCCGGCCATTTCTGCCTGCCTCTCCAGCAGTTGCCTTGGCAGCTGGTCTCAGTTGTAGGAGCACTCCTATAGCTAGGCGCGATATGCAAATCTGTGAGCTTATGGTATCCATTTGGCCGGACTTGCTCAAATCCTATTTGACTGGCATTGTATTTCAAACAGACACTCTCTTTCGTAACATTTGTAACAAAATTCGAAATTATAAACAGAGGAAGAGTAAAAAGGTATAGAATGTCGCAGGATAAGCAAAAAATTGCCAAGTTCCATCACGATCTGCAGAACAATGAGGTGCGCACCATGCACTACTTGGGCCTGGCCTATTTGGTATTGGCACGCACGCCTGAATTGCAGGTGAAGGTGCCGTTGTCCACACTAAACTATGAGGACGGCGACGATGTGGGCTTTGCCGTCCAGGTGGTGTTCACCTGTCCACCCAACTATCCGCTGCTGAAACCGAAAGTAGACATTGTCGAGAAGCGCAACCTGCCTATGGGCATGGAAACGGCTATGCGCGAGGAGATCACAGTGACGTTGGAGCAGCATGTGGGGCTGCAGATGATGGTGCCGGTGGTGACGCGACTGCAAATGCTGATGAACGGTGCACTGCGGCGTTTGCCGGCGCCGCGTTCAGCATGAAAAGTGACTTTAAATTCGTTTCAAGTTTGTTTGGGCTTACTTTTGTGCGCAGGACATTTAAGCCAAACACACTCACACACACACACACACACACACACATGTGGTGCTTTTTTAGCCAGTAAATGTTGAGTGCACGAGGAAATGCTGATGGCCTTTTTCTGTAGAAGTCGTCGTTGTCTCGTTTGATATACTAGCAACAAATTGTGTGGCATGCTTGATGGCCTGACCCAGGTCATAGGTGTGTCCATCAGACGGATAGACAGTGTCCTTTCTAGGTATGCTTGTGTGGGCATGTGTGTGTGTGTGTGTGTGTGTGTGGACAATTACGTGCACAAACATGTTTGCTCAACACACACACACACACACATCACAGTCACTTACAATCGAGTCACAAAAAACGGGCAGCAACTTACGCAATACGTGACTTCTGTCGCCTGATTTGGCATTGGAGTGCCCTGAAGTATGCAACACTTGGGCAAATGTTAACACGTGCACGCAAGCCATCTGGCAGCGACAGCATCGGGCGAACCACCACAAGCACACTCATTAATTGGTGGGTGGCTCCCCGGCTGCTTTTTAGGGCCGCAAACTCAGGCAAATGCATTAACTTATCTTTTATGCGCGTGCCAAAGCACTTTCCTTGCTTATCCATATAAATACGTATGTGTGTGTATATATACACATATCCATATAGCACGTATATGTGTGTGTGTGTGTGTGTGTGTGTGTCTGAAGACAGCAGTGCAGGCAAATCGCAAGGCTATTACGCTTAGCCTTTAGCATGGCTGCATCCTTTGCTGCATCTTTGCATTCTCTGTTACATTTCCTTCCTGCCGTTGAGCAAATGAAATTTTTCGGCAAAAAAAATCGCTAAATTATCTGCAGTAAGGTCCCAGTCCCACAGTACCCGCCCTCACCCCCTCCTCCAGTTGCTCCACATCCCCGGCACTCTTCAGGCGCTTCCTGTTTATGCTGCAGCTGCGCCAGTGACGACACATCTTTTCTTTTTCCTCCATTTTGTCAAGCTCGCCTTTTTGCCGCTGCCATGTCATGCCGGATGTCTCTTGGTAATTTAGATAGCCGCAGTTGCTTACAAGTTGCATAATGTTGATACTTCAAAGAGTTTAGCGCAAAGTGTAAGGAACACACACATAAGTATGCGAGTATGTACAAATATACAATACATGTACATACACGTATGTACTATAGCTATGAAATGGGATTAAAGCGAGGCATAGTTTAAGCAACTTTCAATGATTTAGTCCAAAGTGGCTTTGTCTTGACTTTCCTTGGCATTGCTATTGCTTTCTATTTGAAGTATCAATATTTTTATGGAAGGTATATTTATACAAATTGTTGCCTATCCAAACGCACCTTAAGGGCTTAAGAACCGTTCCGTTTCAATTGGATTTCAATAACTATTTAAGATATTAAGTAGCTCTTTATGTAAGAAGCTCTAAACGCCAAATGTATGTGACAATTAAAAAGAGAATTTGTTAGCCAATAAGTATAAATTTATCTGTCTGTAGATAACTCCATCGGTATATAGTTGTTGTTATAGATGTTTCACGACTTTTGGAACATTTATTTAAAATGGAGCACTATGTTTGACAAAGGAACGATCGGCGCAAAAATCAGATATATGTATATTTTTTTGTCATAATTATTTATTAATTATAAATATTGTCTTACTACTTACATATTTACACGTATATCATATTTCTGCAAATGCAATAACGTTTATTTAAATGGTAGGGCCTTGGGCACAAGAAATAAATTCCTTACTCATACAAATTAAATGTGTTTATCTAATTGTAAGGCCAAGTAATGTTTTGAATTAATCGTTTAACTAATTAATTCCCTTTAATTAATAGAAATATTCTCATGACTTCCTGCACATTTCCTTTGTTTGTATTTGCGAATTTAATTATTTCTTTAAGAGTTAAACTGAAGAAAAATGAGATTATAAATTACACATCTTCTTGCGAGTTGGTTGGGTGGCCTAAAACTGTGTTAACCTGCAGCTAAGAAAAGTAGTCAACAAAAATTTCTCTGTCTAATTTATGTATATATGTGATCATCTTTTGCGATCTTGGTTTATTTGAAAATCATTGGTATGCCTTATTTAGGAATGAATCAACAAATGTTTCCCAAACTAGACAATTTTTTAATTGCCCAGCGCGTTTCCCAGCAGAATAATCATATTTTTAAAAAGGATGACTAACTGTATATATATTCAAACAGTATATCCCAATTTATATAATTTTGGGTCCATTATAGACTGATCTTGAAAAAGTTATTTTAAGCAGCAAAAAAAAAAACACATTAAACTCTCCAGTGCTGTATGTACATACATATATCCGAACTAATCGGCCACTCGTGATAATTGCAATTATAATGCTCAATATTTGAATAAAATACCGAGATCAACACTCAGTCTTGTACCAACTTATCTTAGAATCGGAACGTTATGGACTCGTGGTGTTCATACAGTCTATTAATATTTTCAGCTCTGTGCAAGTTCATCGACTCTGTAGACCAGAATGTTGCCGATGAGCCACTGCCACGCGATGAACTCTATTATGCGCTGGCCAGCGAATATGCCAATGAGAATGTTATTTTTTCATCCGAAATGGTGCGAGCTGCCTTGTTTTTCATCTATATTGGCATCGAAGGGGAGGGCTCTGATGAAATGCGTTTGGCGCTGGCCTACCACGGAGTAACGATGTCAGATTTTCAGGTCGACTCGGCCAAAATCTTTAATTACAAATGGAAAGATGCTCCCATAGCGCACAGTGTCATACGTTACTTTATAAGGCAGGATCACAAGATAGCCAGGAATTATAAGATGTACATGCGCCACATGATGGGCAAGGCAGTAAATGTGGACTTCAGCGAGGATCAGCTAAAGGCAACTAATAAAGAACTGGCTGACGAGTTGGGCCCTATAGGTGCTGATGTCATAGCACCAGCAGTCTGGGGTGCCGACCACCTGGCACTGCTCGTCAATGCCATGTATTTTAATATGAGCTGGCACCGAACTTTCAACACCCAAGCCTCTTACCCACGCATCTTCCACGTGAACGAGTCGCGCAAGCTGCTCATCAAAATGATGCACGAGGACAGCACATATTTGTGGGGCGAGTTGAAAGAACTGAACGCCACTGCGGTGGTGCTGCCCTTTGCTTTTCCCAAATTGAAAATGCTGCTCATCAAGCCGAACCATATGGCCGGTCTGGATCAGCTGGAGTATTCGTTAGCCGGCACCGACATAAACGCCCTAGTAGATGATCTGGTCCAGCACGATGTTTTCGTGGCATTACCCAAGTTCAAGATTCGCTGCGATATGGAAGTCACTAAGGTGAGGGGAAACACTTCAAACCGATAAGTATTTGTATTGTAAAATAAACCTAATAGGTTGAATTAAATGTCGGTAGGCCAGTGGGAACATACAAGTATTTCCTCCACAACACCATCTCCCTACAATACATTCTGTAGGTCTTTAATTCGGCGACTAAATATAAACAACAATAATGCACTTTGCATTTTTATACATAATTCATAATTTCGGTCGACATTTGAAACTATTCGACATAAAATTTCTTAAAGTAAATTGACCTAATATTATCCGTTTAACGTCATTTTTCTACAAGTTAACCCCGATGATTATATATTATACATACTTAGTTATGCCAGCCAGTGCATGTTATTTTTTCTTATTTATTAATAATTTTTATAATAATGTTGCTATTATTCACAGTTCGCACTATAACTCATAACTCAAGAATACTTGACTCGACTTTAAATCCGAAGAAATCGAACATAATGTAATGATTTCTAATCGATCAGTTCTACAAGTATGGTCCATCTAATGCTTCAAAAGAACGCAACATTTGTATACTCGTGAGTTTCTTACGGACGTGCATGCTGATTTGTCTCTATCGATTAAAGTTTTCCCCGGAAATTACAAAACCAATAAGAATCAATAATAACAGCCGAGTTGAAATTTTGAAGAAATAATCCACATTTCAATTTAAGGCAAACCCATTTACATGGCACACAAATTTATTTACGTCTTTTTAAATTTAAAATAATATTCGAATAAATTAAAGTAAAATCATAAATTGCTCATTACCACTACTAAATTATTTCATTGTTTACCAATTCACTAGTGATCTGACAAGAGAGAGTATGTAATGAGGAAATGTGTTCATGTGGACGTTGATCAAGTGTACCGAATTCGATAGTTATACATGAGTGATATATATGATAATAATATTAGATTGTAAACAATATATTTTTGGTATTTTTGTATTAGCTCAATAGGTGGGAGATATTCCACTAGTGATCTGACAAGAGAGAGTATGTAATGAGGAAATGTGTTCATGTGGACGTTGATCAAGTGTACCGAATTCGATAGTTATACATGAGTGATATATATATAATAATATTAGATTGTAAACAATATATTTTTGGTATTTTAGTATTAGCTCAATAGGTGGGAGATATTCCACTAGTGATCTGACAAGAGAGAGTATGTAATGAGGAAATGTGTTCATGTGGACGTTGATCAAGTGTACCGAATTCGATAGTTATACATGAGTGATATATATATAATAATATTAGATTGTAAACAATATATTTTTGGTATTTTAGTATTAGCTCAATAGGTGGGAGATATTCCACTAGTGATCTGACAAGAGAGAGTATGTAATGAGGAAATGTGTTCATGTGGACGTTGATCAGTTATAGCGAATTCAATATTTATCCATAAATTATAGATATATGATAATAGTGTAACAATCTATTTTTTATATTTTCGTACTACCGCAATAGGTGATACGTCGCTTGGGCATCGGTAAAATATTCGAAATCTCCGAAACCTTCACCACGCTTTTGAACAAAAGCACGCCATTTCGGGTGACAGGCATTCGACATGTGAACACTTTTGAGTTCACTGAGGCGGGCGTAGGTGTGGCTCCAACGCCAATGGGTAAGTACACAAATGGCCCCCAATCGAGTCAGTCGTACTTGTATATTAATCACGCACTCGCTTTTTGACAGGTTACGGCAGTTTGGCACGCCTCTTTAGGGGTGTCAAATACTTCTTAGCTGATCATCCATTTGCTTTTTTTATTATTGATAAGAAGTCGGTATTCTTGTCGGGCCATATAACTAATTTCTGACTTGACATTAAAAACCGTTAGCTATTTATTTTTGTCCTATAGTTATATGCATGCCATCTGGTGGGGCCTCTTCAACTGCCTGACCATCGGCCGCAATTACATGTTGCAATAATTCCTGCAAAGCTGCTGCTCCTTGCACCAACCAATCAGGTAGCTTTATATGCTGTAATATCTCATCCAATTGCGCAGAGTCCATATATGTGTTATCTTGAGGCGGTTTCTTGGTAATGACCACCATCCGCCTGCTGGGCCTACTGGTGACCTTGCCTCTTACTTGTGGCCTCTTTACAAGTATGGCATGCCGCGCACACTCGCTTGGCACAACACAAGCGCCATGGTACTTATGCTCCCGGATATAGCCGCCCAGGCAGTTGCAGTGTCCATAGCAGCGAGCGGTGATGCAAGTCCCTTTGTTGCACGATGGCGGACAAGTGTCGCCGCAGCTAACCCATACTTCATTTTTGCCACAAAATGGAAAGCAGCACGATAATTTCATAAACTGGACTATCAGCAAACAGTACCAAAGCCCAAGCATTGCAGACACAAAGTAAAATCCAGAGTAATCGAGAGGAATTATTTAAACAAAGCATATCAAATACAATTTTGCAAGCATTTCAAGGTGCAAATGCAAAAAACCCAGAAACTCTAGGCTGTCTTCAAACTTATTAAAATAAACCTGGTCGAGAAACAAATACTTGTAATATAAACTTTTTATATAACCCCACAATGTGAGTTCGTTCCTGGCTATATGACGCATAAAACAATATTTAAAAATTACTTGCATTTTTAAAAATTCTGTAAAAGTTGTCTCATTTAAACAAAATATTAAACAAAATAAAAATAAATAAAATTTGCTTGACAATTACAGTTTTAGCTGCAAGATCAGAAGGAAACTCGATTGATTAGCATCAGCAAAACACTATTAAAGTGATTTACAACAGGTAAAATATTTCACATTATCATGGGATTCATAAGTAGGGATTAATCAAGTGTGATCAACTTTAAATAAAATAAACTTGACTCCACCAATTCGTTCATGACAAATTATATAGATTTCGACAAAGTTTCAGATGATGAAGTGTTAAATGACAAATCGTTTGTTTTAGAAAGTGAGATTTTTGCAAAACCCATGAAGTTATATATTTGGTGTGTAATAAATATGATTTGGGGTACCTAGCTGTTGGAGATCTAATCAAATCTATGCAAGCAAACGAGATTGAGTTTTTTTCGATGAATTAGTTAGTTAATTGATTTTTTTTAATAATCAAAAAAATGTTTAATCATCATTTTTTGTGGGAGTACAGGGTATTTGTTGTTTTTTAGTTTGAAAAATGTACTTCATTTAGTAATCATTTAAAAGTATCCCCCTTCTTTAATCTATTTCCTTAATTACTCAACATTTAAATGCTTCATTTGATTATACTAGTAGGTGTTTTTTATTACCAAAACTCTTTTAATCTGGAAAGAAAATTTAATTGAAACAATGGGTTTTTTCATAAATTTACAGCGAATATTAAAGCCCTGTAGAAGCCGACAAAAAGCCTCAAAGTCGTCAATTTATTTGATTTAAGGTAGGTCTAAATAAATATATAAAATTATGCAGCAAAAAAGCAAAGAAAAATATCGTATATTTTTTGTTAGGAAACTAAACATATTTTTCATAACCACAAGACTGCATCTTCTACAATTTCCACAGATACGAGTATGTTTGCAGCCCCGCATTGCCCGCTGTCTTGGTCGAATTTCGAGTGTGTGTTACTTCGCCAGCGAAGAAAAATATAAAAATTTTAGCACGCTTACAAAAAAATTGCCAATTAAGCGCATTTATGACTGCAACGAGAGAAAATATGTGTGGCATGCAACAAGGCGCTGGGCGAGCCATAAACATTCTTAATGTAGAAACGGAGACGTGTGCACTCGTCGTCTTCATCGTCATCGTCGGTCCAGGTCCAGGTCCAAGTCCAGGTCCAGGCCGGGCCAGACGCTGTTGGGGATTATTAAGAAACAATGAAGCGACGCGCGCAGACGCCAGCAAGTATGCAATAAAAGTGGACACATAATGCCAAGTTTATGGTTGAAGTTAAAACCGGAAACTAAATAGTTGACACCACGGAAAATGAAACGAAACGAAACGCTGTCCGACGTTGCCAGGGATTAACATTTATTACCATCAGCGTTGCGAGCGTTGTCACGTCTTGGCAGCGGGTAGATTGTCTATGACTCGAAGCTACCCCCAATAGCCTTCAGCGTGGAACTGGCCAGTGCGGCTGCCTCGTAAAACGCAAAATGACAACATAATTTGTAATTTGAATTTGTTTCGTGCGCGGGCATAAGAAATGAGCTGAGAAATGAGCACAGCATCGCTAGATGTGGTTATGGTCAGCATCAGAAATTCAATTCGCGCATTTTCTTTATGAATTATTAAACCTACATTAGACAGCACGCCATCGTGCAATCCGTAATCCAAATCAGGAATTCTTAAAGGCATTCGACAGATCTGTACTCGTAGCTCAATTCGTTGTCCCAGGTACGTGGCTTCAGTGCTGATTCTGCACCCCCATTGTGATGTCGAAATACATGGCCGGGGCTAATGCCAGACAATGTCCCCATTTCACTTAAAACAAGCCTCAATTACTTGCAAATTAATTACTTCATTGTGCAGAGTCACCATCGCCCCCAAGACCGTTAAAGTTCTAAGCTCGAATACAGCTGGCAAGGAGCAGCCGACTTGCATTAAAAATAATTAAAAAATAGCACGGACTGGGATCAGCGCCAGTTTATTTTATGGCCAAGAAGCAACCCTAACTCTTGGCTTTTCTTAAGACGAGTTCGCTCAACTCAGCGGCGTCTACCTGGCCGACCATGTCGAACTTGAGGCCTGGTGATTTATGCGCTTATCACACGAGCATTCCATTTTATAGTCTGGCCCATAAATGTCCTTCCGCATTTGCGACGCACACAAATTTTCTATTTTAATGCCGCCCGACTAGTGCTCACAATTTTTCAATACCTGTGCCGCACCGGCTTAAGCTGGCATGCCGACTGTCTTCACAGCCTGGCTGGCTCCCTGGGCCTGTGGCGTGACAGTTTTTCATTACGCACAAATCCTCTGGGCATACAGACTCAGGCACATTAAAAATTGAATGCAGTGGAACAATGTGGGGGCGCAGGACAGCTTTCTGTGTTAGCTGGTAGCATCTACACATGTCGATGCGGTGGACAGAAATGCCGATCTAAGCTGCCTTAAAAGTGTCGCAAGTAGGCATTTACTCCTTTCTAATGTGAAGCTATATCTACGGTGAGGGTAACGCGAATTTCTTTCGAAATGAGACTTGATTCCTTTCCTACAAGTGAATTTATTCAAAGCGCAGACTGGATAAGTCCTTTAAATAGGAGTATTTTGCCTCTGTTTGGGAGAAAAATGCTGTTTACAATCTAGTACGAATTCAGACTTAAGCTGAGTTATAGAGTCGTTCTGTGCAAGCAAAAAATAGACAAATTTATTTATTATTAAGTTTCCTAATTTCGGATTTAATGTGCGTTTCTATATATTTGACTACGATGAGGCTAGATGGTTAATCAACTCTTCTTAATATTAAGACAAAACTAGTTCTCAGTTTCTGAAATCTCAATGATAACGCAGGATTTGACTGCAAGTTCTTCATTATTTTCGAGAGCACCCTTAAATAGCGATATTTAGTTATTAAAGTTATTTTGTTGACAAACTTGAATCAGAAAATATTTTTTAACAATATCTTATGTAAATTACTATATATCGATGATTTAAAAGCAGTAAAAATTAACTTTCTTGTTCTGCCAGTTCGATGATTTTCGATTGTTTGCGACACAATACTATATGTGTTGTAATTTTATCAAAACGTTTTCAATTTATTTACAATCATTGATATGTATTGAAAATTACATTATACTTATGCATAATGCTATATTGAGACAAACAAATATTTATTTATTTAAAATAGACCTATGGAAGAACGATTAACTTTATGAATGCAAAGAATTTTTATAAACATTACATGCCCTTAAGAAAGATTGTCGGACTGGAAGAAATGCCGTTTAGTTTCTTTGCAATATGATACAAAGAAATAATATTTAAATAACTTTTCGATCGGCCATATTTTTCTTTATGTACTTAACCATTTTTACTTACTTTGACTTCTTTTGTGGTCAGTTTAGTATATAAATAAAATAGTATTGCATACTTTTAGGCTGGCAGTGAAAATTGAACTTTCGAACAAGGCGCTGCAAGCTGCCCTTTTGCATTTAAAAAAACTCATAAATATATTTGCCTTTTACACACGCACTCACACACATACATGCATACAAAAGTTTTTACACACTTTCTATTAAAAGCGCCTGTCATTGCCTGACGTTGGCGCTGGCGCTGGCGTCGTTATTGTCGTCATTGTTGGTGTTGTTGTCGTTGCTGCTATTGCTGGCATGCCAAAGTTGGACGCGCCAAGGCGCGCGTGCTGCTGCAGCAAAAGCAACCGAACAACAACAAATACACAATTGAAGTCGTGGCTAGTCCTTAGACGATGCTGCGTCCTTGCTGCCATTGTCGTTGCCGTTGTCGTTGTCTTCGTCAAAACCATTACTCTTCGGCAACGTGCATTATATTATCCATTTTGACTTGGCTCCTTGAAGCATTTGTATGCAGGCTGGCATCAGACTTGGCAGGCTTGGGCGCGAATTGCAATGGGCTTGATCCCGAAGCCCATGCTCCGAGCTGGAAGGCATGCCCTTTGAGCTGTCGTCACTGTAATTTGTATTGCCGCCTCGTCGCAGTCAAACTCCTTGGCCAGGCGTCTAGCCTCAGTCGCGCCTGTCATTCCTGTAACTTGCAAACTTTTGCTGTTGTTGTTTTTTATTTGTGCTCTCCTTAACGTTTTAAATTTCAATTTGGCTGGCTGGTAAGCAAGATGTATGTGTTATAGCATATGTTGCATATCCAGTCTAGTCCCGAAAGGCGGCCACACCTTTGCCCACCTGTGCGATCTATGCACACATGCAATTTTTACGCGTCACAGTGCTCCTCTGTTGACAGCTGGCATTTTTGTGCTTTCTGCTGCTGCTCCTGCTCCTCGTGTTGTTGTTGTTGCTGTTGTCCCCAATGCCGCCGTTAACTAAACTGTCACTCATTCAGGTGCTGTGTACCGTTATTATGCTATTACCTTGGTTGGTTGACTGGGTGGGGGCTACTTACACATTTCACATCGCATTTAAACGTATGGCGACCGCCCCTCGGCATGGGGGAAAAAAGAAATGAAAATGAAAGAAAACACGCCACTTAACAAAGCGCATTTATCAATGGTAGCTGTTACCATTACTGTTGTTGCTGTTGTTGTTGTTGCCCTGCTTTTCGTACGTGATTTGAACCCAACAACAGTTGCGCATTATCAGCCATCAAGCATCAACATCCAGCACCACCACCATAATCAACAACAACAACAACAACCACAACAAGCGTATTCAATACGTGTTAACCCACATGACGCTGCATTTTTGCTGCGATTATCAAGCGTTTCCGTTTCCGTATGTCTTCGTCTTCGTCTTCGAATACGAGCATACTCGTACAGACGGCCTAGGCTCATTTTGTGGCTTAAGGCCACAGACAAAATTACATGCCTTTGTTTTTTATCTAATGCCGCACAGAGCATTTTTAAGGGTCATAAGGGTCGACCCAGGCTCGAAGTGTGAAACGTGCGATGCCTCTGAGCCACGCAAACGTCACCAACACATTTTCCATTTACACATTCCCTAACGACAGCTTGCTGCTTTTGGCTCTGGGCGTATGTAATTCGATCTATTATCAGTTGTCATCGTCGAGAAATTCGCACATTCACATTCGCATTGTCGTCTTGCTTGATTTGTGCCATCGTTGAGGCGTGGCAAGGTGCGGCCCTCATGCACAGTGGAACATTTTATTTTATTTTATTTTAAAAGTAATACTTTACAAAACACATTTAAAATGCTGCGATAAAGGCTAACAGGCTGCAGTTTGTGGCAAATATAGGATAACTTGAAAGAACGTGAAATCTTTAGGTAAACTAACAATTTAACTTTTATTAATTTATTTATTTATTGAATTTTTTAATTAACAATTAAACAAAGAAAGTAATGTGTTTCGAGTCGAGGTCTACAGCTACCAGGATTTGTATATTGATATCTTAAATCTTATTGTATTATATTATACAAGAAATATAGCTTCAATAAATTATGTGAAGTTTTAGTTATTTTTGGAACATATTTTTATTAATATATTAAGTTCAATTTAAGGGTTTCTATGACTGCTAGGTCTCTCTCTCTCCGTCTATTACCTTCTTCGGAATCATTAAAGATACATTTTTTTCTCAAGATATAAAGATATAAAGCTTATGTTTTGTATATGTTTGGATATGAACTCGAAAAAGATATCATTATCACATATTAATCAAAACAGAATTTATTGTGTATATCAAGTTTATAGGTCAAGTTTTCAATTAAATATTACTCTATTAAAGTAATTGAGAAAAGTATTTGATGATTTTTTTTAAATTGTAGATTTAATTAAAATCTCTCCCAAATGGACAATTATTAAATTAGTGCATGTGCCTTGAGTGGTGACATCCTACAAAATAGAAGATTGAATGGGGAATTACAATTATATTTAACCTTCTAAATATTTCTAAATATCTTGATATAACATTAACCAAAAATAGAAAACATTTTCAATCTGATGTCAAACTGAGTATAATTTTATTAGTATTGCATTTTTTTTTGTAATTTTTGGAGCATACATCTTTTCCTTTTTTTAAACAAGAAGATTGTGATCGCATTAGATTTAAACGATTTCAAGCCGCTAAGAGGCCCCAACAAGGCCCGTGAGTTATTTACATTTGTACAGACTATTTGATTTAAAGTCCATTGTGCGAGGACATCCAACAGTGTTCTGGCCCAGGCAAGGCATTGCTTCACGTGTCATTTCGTAGCAGAAATTTGCACTTTTTCAAGCAGCCGAAAACCAGAGAAACATGGAATACCAAATCGAATATAATACAGGTCCAAGGCAAATGCACATCGAGCTCTATGCCGCTTCCAAATGCCTACCCAGAAGTTGAGCTCGAATCGTACTCGTAGTATGGCTGCGTGCCTAAGTGTTGCACTTACAGGCGCCACAAATGTTTGTAGCAGTAGTACAATTTGTGTGTGTGTGTGTGTGTGTGAGTGTGTGTATGTGTTTGTCCCCAACAATTGGGCAACAACTGCGACAAGGCGTGAATGGGATAATTTATACGCACATATGAGCAGTCGACTGTGTGGCAGAGTCTGTGGCACAAATCCAATGAAGTAGATAAGCGCAAATGCAAGGCCTACCATTGCTTGCATGTGTGTGACGGTGTGTGAATGTATTTGTGTTGCCTACTTTTTGGGGGACTGAGCTTGTGCGGCATATTAAGCAAAAATTAGCAACAGTTGCGTGCCAGCGCATACGAGTCGAATATGTCAAGTTAATTTAATGTAGCGTGAAATGTGCATGGATGTGTGGATATATGGGTGTAAGGGTGTAGGGGTGTGTGGCAACTGTTTTTTGCCAGCTGTGGCGCATAGACAAGACAGCCACATCGTACACACACTCATACACGCTCGTCCTGCTACGTGCAATAATTTGCTCAATTACTTAGCAAATTCTTGCGCCCATTTCTTTTGGGGGTTTTTCTACTTCTTCCTCTTTTTTTTGAAACGTGGCACACACAAAAAATTCAAATAAATTACGCCTCAAGGCATTTTACAATCCTATTGCCCGTTTCTAGGCGCAATGTTGTGAATTATGTGCCAACAAATACGCGCACATGTATGTGTGTGTGTCTGTGCATGAGTTGTCTTATATAGTTTTCCTCCTTCTTTTGGCCAGAGAGTGGAAAAGGGAGGGGGAGAGAGAGAGACAGAGAGAGAAGAGACCGCGCAAATTATGCATTTAGCTGAAAGCATGTGGCATGTAGGCATTACGTGTGCGGCATGACAAAAAATATTTAGTTGGCAAAGGCAATGGCCCGGAAATATTGAAATATTTACTTAAACACACCCACGACAAGGATGATGGGGGAGCGATGGCTGCATCCCAAATAAGTCAAAACTAAAGCTCTGCATCAGCTTGCGCGGCCACGAGCTGCCACTTGAAAGCAATTTTGTCATTTTTCAACAAAAAAAAAAAAAATAAAATAAAATGTTCTTTTCATAGAATATTTATTTTATTTTTTATTTGGGATTTTTTCCTTCGTTCGTTATTGTTGTGCTGCGCTCATAAAAATGTCAAATCATTTACATACACGTCACTTGCGACAACTACTTGACAGGCATTAATACACTTAAGCTGGCTCTAAGAAGCGTGGCTACATGGCATTATCCTTTAAGCAAACAACAGCAACAGCAACAACAACAACACAACGGCAACATGACACAGGCGACGGCAACAACAATGACATGCCAACATAAATGACATAATATAATAACGTTTTTTTTTTTTTTAAAGGGAAGAATAAAGAAAGATAATATCAACCCAAGTAGCAGAGCATACAAAAAATTTGCGTGCTACACCAAATGCCGTTAGACAGCTGCAGGGAGCTGCACCGCCAAACACACACATACACACACGCACAAGCCATGTACAGTATATACTTACAGTATATGTATACATAGATATGTCGCCCTTTGCATGTTTTCATGCTGCTAACAAATTGCTTTTTGTGTGAATTTTGTCACTAAATTGCAGACAAGCTGCAAAAATTTGTATAGTAGTCTGGGGCGCCACTGTTTGACTTCATTAGGCCATCCCTTTGATTGGTTGCGTATGTGTTGTGGCGCCGCTTTGATCTCCAGCGGGGGCCCCCACCTCTACGTATTTCTAATTTATAATAATCCATAATCAACTGACCGGATAATCAGTCGATGCCTAGCATTGTATGGTGTGGTCTCATTTAAATTGATGTTTTGTGTCTACAGTGGTTCTTAAACCAGAAATATAACTCATTTCCACGGCCTATTCACTCTTGTGTAATATTTTTATTTATTATGTCGACAAACACTAAAGTCCGTCGCACTAAGTACAAATCTATATACTATATAATAATGAAGACTTGTGGGTCTAGGAAAATGAAATGACACGTTCGATTATGTTTACCTGACCGGCCAGTTACAGTTTCTTTAGTAATAAATTAATAACAAATTAATTAAGAATTGATGGATTGAGATAACTGGTATAATAATTGTTGAAGAACTTCAAAAATAATAATCCATTTTTGAATTCTTTGAAACTCTTTTCTGACCATTAAGTGATTGGTAAAATAAATTTAAAAGAACCCCAAAGATAATTCGTTGCTTTACTTTTTGAAACTCTTTTTCTAGTTTCTTTTTGTTAAAAATAAGTACTAAACAGAAACCGGACAAGAAATATGATCCCATGTTTTTTTTACTTTCTTAGTCACAAATAACCGCACTGATTATTAAGAATTAAACTGAAATATAAGCATTTCATGCCTCTTAGACCATTTGTGTTCATTTGCCAATTAGGTTAAGTTGTTGAGTTAAGTTATTTGGAATTTCAAATTATTTGCAAAGACAATTGAAAGTATCAGGGAAACATTAATTAAATCAAAATGAAATACAAGTACGATTTCTGAAAACCATTATTAGCAACGCTGTTTCAGGCATTTCTAAAATACATCTCTCAAGCCTCGTATAAATTAGTAATTACTTCTAAAATGATTGTCATTGGTTGGAAGAGCACCATATGCGGTTCATTACACATCATCATCGGCGAATTCAGCTTCCAATAAATTTGCTCTTCATTCCAACTCTGTGTGTGTGTGAAAACTTATGTGTTGAGCTACTGCCCAGGTCCGTCATAAATTCTAAAGAAATAGATTTGTCATAAATTTCGGCGTGCACAACAAAGGGAGCTGAGTGTTCCACTGTAATCATCCTCGATGGGTGTCTGTGTGTGTGGCGTGTGTGTCTGGGCTTGTTCGTCCGTGGAGAAGAAGACGCCTTTTCGTATCAAAGACGAAAAGCTATTTACATTTTGCATTTGCCTGCGAGGACACAGCAAGGACAACGGCCATTGCGACGGCATAAAGGCAATTTATCATAAATATTTGTCAACGAACAGGGGCAGCCGCAGATGCAGAGCAAGGAGCAGGAACCGAATGCAGTCAACTTATTTTACGCTCGGACAAACAATCTGCACAAAGGAAGCTGATGGCGACGCTCATGCTCATGCTGCTGATGATGGTGAGGAGAGGGAGAGGATGAAGAGTAGGATGTGTTTCACCAATAAGCACACTCGCACACATGCTTAAAACAACTTAACTTTATTCTGCACACAACTCGAGAGTTTGTCTACAAGTATTGCCAAATCAGCCATATGGACAGACCCACACCCAAAACCAGGTCCATGGGCAACGAGAAGGTGTCTCGTCTCGCATACTCGTAGCGCGCAATCTCGATTATCTTGTGCGTGGCCTGCAGCCACTGCTTGACCACAGAGGCCTCGGCCGCCACAAAGGAATACTCCTCCCGTTTGCCTCCACCCTTGTCCAGCTTCACCAGCAAGGTGATAGTCTTAGTGGCATTAGACGTGGCCAGCTCCAGCGGACGCTGCAGCTCCACATGCTCCCAATTGTAGTGCTGTCGGTAGGCCAGACGACGCTTTCGCACCTCCGTGCAGACCAAACAGCGATCGAAGAGAAAGACCTTGGCCCGATACTTTTTGCGTGTGGGAAAATGTTGCGCCTCGAACTCCGTGGCCCGTCTGAAGTGGCCCTGCTGCAGCAGATCGAACTGTAAAATGGTCAGGATGCATGAGCTCCAAAATTTTCTACTTGTGGAGGAATGCAGGACTTACCTCATTTAGTTCATCTATGTTGGGTATCTCCTCGGCCTGGTTGACCACATCGAGTTGGCGGCGCAGGCGGGTCTCCAATTTGCAAACAGCGCTCAAGACGGGCTTGCAACTAATGCCGCTCTTGTAGAATTCCTAAAGGTGCCAGAGATTAAAGAACCCTCTATACTTTCTGATAAGTAAGTAAGTCGTAGTTATCGTTTCTCACCGATATGAATTGCTGCAACAGCAATGGATATCTTGTCAGTCTTTGTATGGGCTGCACTAGAAAACTGTCAATGCCCAGTTTGTCTTTTATTGAAGTTTGATAATTCTGTAAAGTGTACGATCCTTCAGTTATTCACGCAAAGTAATTCACCGGTAAAGAAATACTCACCTGCAGCCATTCACGGTGCTCCTGGCGCAGCTGCATCGAAGATTTTTTACCCATGGTGAAGGTGACGTAGCAATAGAGATGATTTTTCTAGAATTTGGAAGCAAACGTTTGACTCATTACAAGGTGTTATAGATAGAATTATTAAATTAAATTATTTCTCATAAGTTCTTAATTCGCTCAGGTTCGATAGCCATATAGAACTTTTTGATAAGCTAAATTAAGCTTTAGAAAATAGGGGAAGATATAAGATTAATTGTCTAACAAATGCATTAATTTGCGAGCTCAATCATGAGATTCTCAATATTAAGAAATTTATGATAACTAAGTGTGCGCTAAGACGAAGCTTGAACAATTAAGCCCCTAAATGGGTGAGAACATTTATTGTGTTTCTAATAGAGAACGATTGTTGGACACTTTTTTTCACTTTAATTCTACTTTTATTTTAATAACTTAAATTAAACTTATAGGTAAATACAAATACGACTTAAACTAGTATTATTATTGTTGGACACAGGAGTTGACAAAGGGACACCTATAAGGGAAGCTGTTGCACTGGCTAAATGAGAATAATCGAAATTTTAAGCCGAACACATTGTTCAGCTGCCATAGAAAACAAATTAATAAGGATTTAGATATAAATGACAGGTTTATTTCCCCTTCTCCCATACAGCCCATTGCATCCCAGTACGAATAGCCCCAGCTAAGCTTCTAAAACTCATTTGAATTTTATATAGAGTGCACGCTTGACGGTTCTCGTCAACCAAGACTTAGTTGGCATTTTATGGACATTTTAATTTTTCTCTCATACTTGTATGTATTTTGTATGCAAAACCAATTCATGTCTACATACGAGCATGTATGTACTATGTGCGAATATTTGTATGTGTACATAGTGCTTGTAAAACTTGCCTGCTGGCGAAATCATAATTTTTAAGCATTTAAGTCACGTAATGCCACACACTCTAAAGTTTGGCAAAGCCACAACAACAACAACCACAACAACAAAATTGAAATTCGTGTCGTTGTTGGTTGGCCAGAAAAAAAAAACGAGAAGGTGCAACGCATAAAGAAAATGAATTTTCCGACTGCTGCAATCTTGAAAATTGTCAGCAATTTTGAGGCATTTAATTCCATTAACCCTCACTTGGGCATTTGTCCGGCGTTATTCGCCAGTAAATCAAAATGCTGCCAACTCCAATTTGAAGCTTACCTGATGTTAATGAGTGTGTGTGTGTGTGTGTGTGTGTGAGTTTTATGCACGAGTGTGTGCGTATATGTGTGTTTGAGGATGAGCTGGCGTTATCATAATATTTGCATTTGCTGGAGGGTAATTGAATACATTTACCATTGCAATGATTATCTCAAACCCACTCAGTCATAGACTCGGTCCCAGTCTCAGTGTCGAGCTCACACTCAAGCATTAGGCCGCATTTGCATATGCAAATGCAATGCGTGCAGGATGCTCGGGATCGAAGCTTCAACTCAATTATAAAACAATTGTGCAATATTATATGCATATTTATCATTTCGTTGCCAGAAGCGCAGTCTCTTACTATAATTGTTGATATTTTCATTTACTTTCTTCTCCTGCCCTGCATCAGCAATTTGTTTATTTTTATTTTTCATGCATAGTATAGCATTTAATTGAGTCACTTGGCTGCTGTCAGAAATCTTTGAACATAACATTTTATTTATACACATTCTGCATTTCACTTGTCAACACATTTGTTGTTCATATTTCAGTGAACAGGTTGTTGGTGTTGAGTGATAGGCCTAGTATGTTGGGTTATTCAGAATCTGAATTCAATAATGAAGTGTTAACCTAATGAGTGTAAGCTTTGCTTGTTAGAAAACAAAGATTGGAGTGCAAATAATGAACGCGACTTCAACACATTAGAGTGCATGGTTGTGCAAATACAGATAACAGGCACAAAAAAGTCTCTCTCAAATCGATACAGCCCTATCCGAACACCTGGAACCCCGAACTCAATGCCTCTCTAGAACATACAATCAGAAAGCTTTATAACTTTTATCACTCACGGCTATTACTACTCGTCTAAGCCGTTCTTTTGGCCTCATTTTGGCTGCTGATATGGGAGTTTTTACAGCGAAAACAATGAAACTATTTATTTCTATGATTGATTAAGTTTTTCTCTATAAATTTGTTAATGGTTGCCCAAACTCAAGCGCCGATCGTCGATCGCAACTGTATAAAGATTTAATCTAAAAAATATTGGGGAACATAGGGAACATGATTCTTCGGACCATTAGAGTTGCATAGAATCGTCAATTCTGGTAGACAAATCACTCTCCTTCACAACAACAAGAGAAAGTAGCATTGCATTCGTCTATTTATGTGCACTGTAAAGATTATTATTATTATTCGAACTCAGTGCGCTATTAAATTGAGCAGAGAAAAATAATGTTTTGTTCAATTTATTGAGAGTCTCGTTTTATTTAGTAATTTATGTTGCTTGTTAATTCGCTCCAATTTTATAGCACACCATTTAAAGTCAATTAATTGGAAATTATATCATGTTCTCTATGACAAATGCCCAAAAAGAAATCGTAAATCGGGTTGGCTCAACAACTTTTATGAGCATAAATCATAGCAACAAACTATAAAAAAATGAAATAACAGCGTAAATCAAAGGCAATTTTCTCGTTTATATGTAAGTGCAGGCCAGAAAAAATCAATCAACAATACGGAAAAGGCCAATTTCTTGGAGAAAAAAGTAATAGCCACTAATCATGCAGCGAATTATTTTTGAAAAGCCTCATTAATTTTTCACCAATAGATAATCTTGGGGAAGAAGAATCGATTGCTTTCATATGTATGTAAAGCGATTTATTTTGATTTTGTTTATAACATTTTCGCATAAATTGGCGCGAGCGTGTGTGTGCCAAAATATTGTTTATATACGAATTTTAAAATTCTTTCAGTTGCCTGCCGGTTGACCGTGAATCAGTGTGTCGGCGCGGCGTGCAAAGTGGTTTCTCGTTGTGTTCTAAAAATACATAAATCAGCAGCCTTTTGCTCAACCCCGCCACCGATGCAGCATTAAAAACTATAGCCCGAGAGATAGCCGCGAAATATGAAGCGGCTTTTGCATGGCCAAATCATATAATTCAAGTTCTCAAATGGGTTTCAGGAATGTTACCTGCTGCACAAAATCGTATTATGCTCCTGACATGGTTATTGCCGCTGCTGCGACACTGCGGGACATTCTCAGAAATACGCATGACATAACGAGAGAATGAGTTCAAAGTATGTGCACATCGTATGTATTTATATAGTATACAGTACATAAAGCCATTTACCGAGCACTATATGCAAAGTGCTTGCCACCCATTTCAATTCAAATTGATCGTTTGTCTGTCAACGCTTGCTGTCATGTCCATGGCCATGTCTCCGGCTGTTTCTATGAAAACATATGCCCAACCACATATGGAATACAAGTATCCAGGAAAAAATACAAGTAACAACAACAAATCTGCGCTTCCAAGTTGTTATCACACGTAATTAAAGTATATAAAAAAACTTGAGCTTTGTTCAACAATTTGGAGTTCTGTTAAGTGGCTAAACACACGCTCTGTCACATACACTCAACAAAAAATCGAATATTTATTAAATTTCTCCAAAACAACAACAATTTTCAACATTTCAGTCATTTTTATTGAAGTTTTTTTGAGGTAAAGGTAGAAGAAATAAATCATAATATAGTTTAATTATTTACAAATGGAACATATTTTTCAATCATTATTCAAATTCAAATTTTTTTTAAGTATTTCATTGCTCTCCAATCCATTCTGTTAACGCTATTTGTTTATTTGAATTCTTTTTTATTATCAGTTACAGAGTTTTTGAGATATTTTGCAGCATTTAGTTGCTTCATTAGTGACATTTTTTCATACTTAATTCAAGCAAACCCAAGCATTAAATCATTGTAAATTTCTATAGTTCAAGATGAATTGCTTTTTCGCTGAGTGTATGTGTACATAGCTATTTAGCTATGTATGTAATACTTTGTGTACTGGCTTGTTGTGTTCATTAAACGCCAAGCCCCACTTGGCAAAAGCTGTGTCTCTGAATATTTTAGTGACGTCAGCTTTAACTTGAGACGCCGGCTATACTTACATATACTACATACATACATATGTATAAATGGTATATAGACATGGGCGACGCAAACAATTTATTCTGATAATTTTTAGCGGATTTTGTTTAGGACTTTTTCCGCTGTAGCTCACTTTTTGTTGCTAGAGCTTTATACTTATGTGCGAGTATGTATGTACGTTTCTTTATTATTTATTATGTTTATCTTATCATTGTACCATGCCGGGAGTTAACAGACACATTCGTCATAGTTTGGCTTTTGCGGCCGCTCTGCTAATTGCCCGCTTGTTAATGTCGTCTATTTTGTGTTTCAATTTGTGTATATAGTGTTTAACATTTATCCGCTGACTGGAGTGGGGGATTTTTTCACGATATGCCTTTAATATGTACAATATGTATGTAGAAAACTTTTGATAACATTTTGGGAGCGCCAATTGCTGCTATATTTATAGTTATGTTAATTTCATTTCTTTAATGATTCAACTCCACAACTCCACGCATAACAATGATACTCCAAACCCACAATTCGTGACACAGTTGTCAACAAGTGTGAATAAATGTGCACAGCCTATTAAAAATTCCAGCAACAGATGTCTGTATGAATACTAAACAGTCGTAAAAAATTGAAACACCTTTGCCCATGCAAACACTTGCTTTCAATAAAAAGTTAAGTCGTAACATCGTTAACTCCATTTCAAGGGCCTCATAATTCAAGACCTGCTTAATACCGTTGGAGGTCTAGTATGAAAATATTGCTATTATGGAATATTGCCGTAATTGGCCACTTTTATTTGACATTCTATTCCTCCAGTTTCTATTGCAGACATTTCTAAAAAAGTATTTCCTCACATTCACAAAATGTTTTCAGCTATAAATGAATAAAATAAATAAAACATATAACTAAGTCAAGTCTGCAGAAACATTCTCTCCTTAATTATGAATTGAGGCAAGTTTTCACAACTTTTCACATAATCCGGAAGAAGTAGAAGAAGAACTGGTAAAGTTTTAATTATGAAACTGTATAGTGTATATATATCGTAATGGGCTGTATGTATCTCAAGTTTGTGGACCGATCTAAAAGGTTTGTAAAATCGGTTATTTTCCAAGACAAACCCGCTTCAAGAATAATTCAATATTTGCTCATTTGCTGGTTCATAAAATTAAACGAAATGGTTCCTGTTTTTAGGCTGATTTTAAGATAGTTTGCAACTGATTGAAGATTTGTTTTATTACCGCAATAATTTATAAGTATTTTGGCTCAAAACCGGACTGAAAGTAGTTGAAGACCTGTTGGATCGTTACCGATCCAAAAAGACTTAGCGAAATATCTTTACAATTGTAAAAACTATTCTGATAAAAGTACTGAATAAATTGTGGATGTATTTGAAAAGCTTTCAAAAAATTAATAAAATGTATTTATTTCCTGGAAGACTAATTAGTGCTTTGGGCCTTAAACTTCGTTCAATATGCTGATTCGTGCTTTTATGTGGCCATATAAATGTTATTTAGAAGCGATCATGACTTCTATTTAACTTTTTAGCACCGAATTTTATTGCCGTGCAAAGAAGGTTTGGTTTTTTTCATTTGATTAGTTTTATTTCTAGTTGTTGTGGCAGCATAATTATATTTCGTATTATTTTACAGATTTAAGCCGTTTGATGAATTGGAAACCAATTTTATGCAGTCGCTAAATAGTTGGCTGTCGTCGACTCGAATAATTTGCATTAATTGCCGCCACTTGTGATGCGCTACGCCAAGCTTAGAATAATTTGAAGCCAGTGCTAAAAATACCGAGCGTCAGCTTAGAGACATCAGAGAGACATCATTAGTGGAATTCTAAATAAAAATGCACACGAGTGCTACTCATCTATTTAGACAAACTAATGAGCAGAAAAAATACTTTTAGCACGATATGTAGAGATGTGAAAACGTCAATCTCAGTGGTGTACGTAGATGTCATAGATAGTCAAGTGCAAATAAATATTATATTTAAGAAGAGAAGATGCTAAGTAAACATTGCTATACAGATTCAAGAATCTTTGAACGCTAAGTAGCAGAGACTTGATCGATAACTTGGCCATAAACAGCTCGCACCCACTTAAAAACCGGCCCAGACTCAGGCCCAGGCCCGGTGGCTGTTCAGGCTAACATGCGGAGTCTGAGTTTTTGGTCATGGCAACAATACCCGTAAATAAAGTAAGTTCAATGGCTATGTGGTAGACCCCTACCGCGCCCGCTACTCACCTCAAAGTGCGCTGCAAACTCATCGAAGAGGCCTTTCAGATCGCGCTGATTGCGCAACATCAGCGGAAGAATTTCCCGCTCGTGCAGCTCCAATATCTCGGATATATTGCTCAGCAGCTGTTTCTGTCTTTCCTCGCCTCGCAGTCCATCTGGCAAATGCTCACAGTCCTGTAACTTGCCATAGTTGCTGAGTCCTTTGCGCAAATTGGCCACGTAATTGACTTCAGTTTGTATTAGCTCGTCAATTATGAAGCTAATTTTCTTGGAGGCATAGATTTCCGTTTGATCGCACGGAAAGAGATTCTCCAGTGAGAGTGTGTCCTCGTCTTCGTGGCTGCAGGAACCACAAAATGCACATTAACACTTACTATACAGGACACATTTATACGGGAACACCCTTTACTTACTACTCATCGCCCAATGTTTCAAAGCTGAGCGTGTGTGTGAGGAAACCATTGTGTGTGCTTAATGTTGGTGATGAATTCGTTGTTGTTGCGGATGTTGCAGGATTGTTGGCAGAGGACAATGAAATGGCACTGTAAACAAACGTAGGCGATATATATGTATGTATGCGTGACAACAAATTGATTGCAATTGATTTCAATTTGTGATTGAAATAAATTGGCGAACGGTATACGGAGATGAGCTTGCGATGGCTTAGTACTAAATACGATTTGGGTACGAATTCCAATAAAGTATGTATTGTGTATACTAATAATAATGATAACCAATGCTATTGTCTATTACCTTAGATAGATTTTCTGCTTACAAGTAAATAAAATCAGAAATGAAAGTAGATAGTATAAGACGGTATGAACATTTAAAAAATTATTACATAAAACACTGAAAGCACCCACAACGTTTCGCATTAAAATCAGAATCCAATCATTTGTCTGTAACTGAAAGCAAATGTTGCTTATGCCTTATCTTATCGCGCATACGCCCCGTCAACCGTTAAGCCATGCATTGACTTAAGAGCTAGAGAAATAGCGAGAACTATAAAAATAAGTAGGTATAGCAATTCCATATGCGTTTTAGCTTCATCAACATTTTTAAAATGCTACACAACTGTGACATGAGAAATTATGGACAGCTGTCGAAATGTGCCTCAAAAGCGCTAAAAACAAATAAAAGCACGTTCACCAAACAAACACAAATACCAGAAGCGAACAAAGTGTGCGAAACAAGCGTAACAATGGTGCCATATCCTACCTATCGGTATCCAAAATGCTCGCCTGCTTCTCCAGTTTGCCATTGCCATTGGCTATAACATTGGCTGACGATAATGACGATGATGGTGTCGTTGCACTTGTATCCACTGGCAGGCATGTTATTTTCTCGATATCTTCCGCATTATCATCGGTCAGTATATGCCAATAGACATTGAAAACTTGCACAAGAAAAATGAAAACCACAGAAGTCGCGACGGGTATCACATCGAACCAATTTAAAGCAATCATTGTCAGGTCGTATTTTGAAAATTCGGAGTGCAAAATGTATTCTGATTTATGGACCACATTTACAGGCCATTGGGGCACATTTGGAGCTCGCCTATTACGCTTAATTTGCGCACTTTAACCATAACTGAACAATTGAAACAACGATAGAACACGCACCCGGCTACAGAGCCTCCAATTCGAGCCAAAACCAAAACTCAACTGTCTTTGAAACGCAACGCTTGCCATAAAATTGGCCAATGGAGAGCTTTTGCTATACTCGTCAAGTGCTCACTGATCGTGTGTAAGTGTGCAACAACAAATATTTCGAAAGCTTTGCCATAAACGGAGCATAAGTTCTCCACCTCTCATACTTGCTCTCTCGCTCTCTTCAGACTATGCGCTAGCGATTTGTTTATAAACAAAATCTAAATATTGTTTTAATGTCTCCTCCAATTCATAATTCTTCAACACTTTTGCTTTCGGGGCATGCTGGTAATTTTTCATTGATTTTGTGGTGTTTACCGCATACCATAGTTTTTATAGCAAGAACAACAACGCACATTTGAGCTCTGATGTGATCTTTTATGACATTTTGCATAGTAATTAGTCGGCTTTGATTAATGGTAATAACAGTAATTATTGCTACTGCACGACCATAATTATTTGCATTGTGCAATAAAGTTCAATTAGTTCTTGTTACTTGCCTTGAACTCTTTTGGAGTATGGATTTGTTTGGGGAAACTAACTAAAATACCTTAACTGGTTTATTGCTGCTTATTTAGTTTAGAAAGGTAAACCATACAAATGGACTATGTATTGGGTATAAAAGTATTTATTTTTGAAGAATCGAAGACTTTTAACAGATATATTTAGAGTGGAAGGGAATCTTTTTTGTACAAGGGATGCTGTTTCTTTCCCCAAATTATTGGATATTACGTATGCGTTGTCTGATTACATTTTGAATACATATTTTTATCTAGAAATGTTACTATAATTTGTATCAACACCCTTTCAATCGATTCAGTTTCTATATGTCCATAATTCAGAATCAGTCAAAGTTCATGCATTTGCAAACATCAGAACTCAGCATGCAAAAATATTATGATGATCTCACAAAGATCACTCCCAGCCGGGCAATATAAAAACGCTGCTAATGTCGCAAATTTCACAATAAATTGTTCACATTTTATTAAACATACACACACATACAGATACGAATTATTTATTTGCATTAATAGCGAACAGTGAATGCGAACAATTGATTTTTTAGAGGCAAAAGCAATTCCCCATCCCAATTAAAATAGTACGTAGACAACGAATTGTATGAAAAAATTAAAAAAAAACAACAACAAAATGTGCGCGACGGCTGTCAGTCTGGCGCTGAAACTAAAGATGAGATTGCATTGAAACAGGCGTTTAGACAGAAAGTAAACAAACAGTATTTGAATATTTTATTTTTTCACAATTGATGGCTTGCACACCAACCAGACCTCTACAGACATACATACCTAGAATTTTGCATGAATTATAAAAGCCACAAGACATACTATTGTACAATCACAAACGATTATGTATATACATATGTATAGTATATGTATCTATATGCGAGCAAATTGTTTATTTTTATACATTTTCTGAGTGATGTCACGAGCCGATTGTGTTGATTTGTTTGTGCTTAACATGCCAAGCAAGTCATTTTTCGGTTTTTGCTTTTGCCAATTTTACTTAACGCTTTATTATTAACAATTTCGTTGACGACTAATACGCTGTTGGCTGTGAATGGCACTTGAATGCCCAGAGGCGCGGGTGTGGTGGGCTGCCAGCTTTTTACATGCTCAGGCACTTGCTTGCGACCTTTGATAAATGCTAAATTCTTTTGTGGTTTCGGTTTTACATAGCTGCTCGCAATAAACATGAAATACATATGTGCGCATCGAGCTGTTGGCATTGGGCATAAACGTGGCCATAACAATGAATTGAAAACTGCTGATTAGGCAAGCATATATCAGTATGTAGGTGAGCTCATTGACATTTTAGCTGGAACATTGACCAGACGAACTTTATAACAAAATAAATAAAACAGTTTGTTTTTGTTTTTTAGTTGTAAGGTCTTGTATGTGAGAAGTATTAATCGATTTGTTGTTATTAATAGTGGTTGTAAAATACAAACATATTTTCTTCAATTTAAATAAATGTGCTAAAAATGTAACCAAAAAAGGGGGACAATGCGAATTAACGTCAATTAGCATTAGCGGCAAATAACACATCTATATACTCTCTATACTTGTACAAATACAAATTTATTGTTTGTTTGTGACTGATGTAAAAACTCGTCAACTCGACCCGATTGAGCTCAAATTTTAACACATTGTAAAACCGTGTTCCAGGATTATTTCCGCCATACGTACCTGTCAGAAAACAGCTTTTTTAACGGTCAGCTGTGCTAGGCAACCACGCCACCTGCCGGTAGCTAGGGTAAAACACTTGCCATACTTGCTAGCTGGAGCCGCATGCGGAGCACATTCTGGAAAACGCTGGTTGTTCCCGATTACTTGTATATTGTTTAGTTACATTAAAAAACGTAACCACTTGCAACCAATCACTCTATCCAATGGAATAATACGATCTTACAATCCAATACCCATCGCGATCGAGATATTCTTGAGGGAGTCCCTTGTAATTGGGCTGTCGGAGTCGTGAGAGGAAATGAGTGATGTTCAGAAAAAGTGTAATAAAAGCCAATAGAGGGAAAACTATTATGAGATAAGCTAAATAATGAATGCAAGCCAGGTACGCTAATTTGTTTATACTTTTATTCATGTGAATATGTATATAAATGGAAATCCTTGTTAGCATTTTTGGTGCAAATTAAGAAAACTTATATTACCGAACGATCAAATACAAATGGAATGAATGACACTCCTGAATAATACTTCTTCAAGGCTTCATTAATGGCAATTTAAAACCGATACAGACTTTTTATGGTAACTCCAAAAATTATTAAATAAGAGCCTTGTAGCAAGAACAAGATGTTTAAAGATCTCGCGAATACGTTTATCATTTATATTAATTTCTAAATTTGCTTTTTTGACTTGCCGCGTTAAATAAGTTATAGAAATATACCCAATGGGCCCTGCCATTGTCCCGCCAATCAAATTTATTGAATGCCTTTAAACACTCAAAAAACAGATTGCGTCGAAAGACGCAAAAAATAAAAATAAAAAAATAAACAAATACCTGAAGGTAAAGTAAGTAAGCTATAAAATGGAAAATTGGTTTTAAAAATATTAACATTGAAAGTAAAACAATCGACGTGTTTTTAAAGCTCATATGTTTTATTTATTTGCAATCACTTTACACTTTGATTGAAGTACTATATAAAAATAATTAACTATAAGAAATTGAGTGTTCACACTTTTCAATAACTATTTAACACCTCTAGCTTAAGTATTAAGTATTTACACATGAAAATATTTACAGCGTATTATTGTCACTGTCGGAACTCTTTAGAAGATATTTATTTTTATGACAGGTTTTAAACAATTTATTTGCATATGCCTACCCTAATAACATTCTTAAGTAACAATATTTGGTGATTTAGCATACAACTTTAATAAGCATTTGCAGCATACGTGTACAAGTACATTGGAAAGGGCAGCGCTTATCACAATATTCTCATACAGGAGGGAAGAGAAGACCTCAGCTTTACTTTAGTTGTAACATTTTTTGAAAGCCCCTAACGATATGTATGTACGAATAATGAACAGCTTGAATTGGAGCCTTTCTTCTCAACAATTCGAGCTAATCGTAAGGAATAAGCATCCCGACCCGATCGCGCATTATGCCTCAGTCCTGATTAGCAGGAGCATGTTTGTCGCAAAGACAGGAATATTGAATGCCACTACGATGCCGCATACCAAGTGGTTCGGTTTCCGGTAGTCTCCTCTTCCGGCTTAGGCATTACCCATATATTGCCGATGCCGCTATCTGAGCTAAAACGATTTGAGTCGCGATACAAGGACAAGCTCGGCGCCTTGCGATGCAAATGATCGTATTCGCGCGAGTACCGTTCCCTCAGCTTCTGCTTCTCCTCGTTGGCATAACTATTGATCATATCACGTATTAGATCCACCCATTGTAGGATTTGGGAAGGATCGGCACTAAACTCGCACTCCTGCTGCTTGCGTCGTTCGTAGTAGAGTGTAAAGGATTTCGTCTTGGTCAAAATGCCGATGTGCTCGCAAGGATACCGACCATGGAAGACCAATTGCTTGCCCTTTATTTCCGTGTATATGATGCACTTATCGAAGATGAACACCTTGGCGCGATAGCTGCGCTTCAACTTGTGGTCCAGCACGTGAAATTCGTTAACCTTGCGAAACTTGCCCTGGTAGTAGACATTGAACTGGCCAGAGAAATGGAACATTTCATGAAATCTAAATGGGACTCTAAGATCAAGCTATAACTCACCTCATTGCAGTCGACGATGTCGTTGATTGTCTCCGACTCGTTGGTGGTGGTAAGTAATGTGCGGAAACGCTTCTCCAAACGGCAACAGGACTCGAGCAGCGGCTTCATCACAATGTCGCGATTCTTAAAGAAGGTCTGTAAAAAGATCCACTCAATAAGTTATTCATAATTATTCACATCTTATAACCCGTGCTTACGTTTATGAATTGTGTCAGCAGTAATGGGTATCGGGCCATTCGCTGTATGGGCTGCACCAGAAAACTATTTATCCCCAATTTATCATCGCATTCAATCTGTATGCTCTGCAAATACCAAATATCTTAGTTAAAGTTTAAAGTACCTTGAATGCTTCTTCTTACTTTGAAATAGTTTTTATAGAGATCACACAATTTCAGCGACTTTTGTTTGTTCATGGTGAAGATAACATAGCCGTAGAAGCAGTTTTGCTGTAAAAACCAAAATAGTTATTGACTACGCCTTGGCTTTCAAAAGTTGTTAAGACCTTACATCCAGAAACTCCAAGAACTCATCAAACAAACGCTTCAAGTCGCGTCGATTTCTTTGCAACATGGGCAGAAACTCATCGCGATGGAATTCGGCGATTTGCTCAATATTACCAAATAGATCATATTTCTTGCCACGCAGACCCAATGGCAAGTCCTTGCGCTGGAACATGTTCCCGTAGTCCTTGAGGCCGGTAAACAGGCTCTTCACATACGCCTCCTCGGTGTGTATAAGCTCCTCCAATATGGGCTGCACACACTTATCGCTCTTCTCGCGCAGTTGGATCTCGCCTTCATCCTCTCTGGAAATGTTCAATAGTATATAATATATTTGTTAGCCCTACGCCTATGGGACAAGTTACGCTGCAGACTTACTCATCTTTGGGTTGATACACTGAATGAAATTTGTTGACTAGCCCTTGATTTGTTGTACCAATAATTTCAGTCTTTCTTCTGGGCGCCGAACTGAAGTTTCTGCAACATAGAAGTTTTCAAATAGTTAGTACAATAGAACTAATTAGTAAGACACAGAAAAATTGGAAAAACTAAGTGGAGATACAAAATTGTGTGCGTTTCTTAAATATTTCCATGAATATAAATATACATATGCTTGAAGATTATTCCCCATTGTCACTCTTCTTGACCATCTGTCAGACACTGAGCCGTAATAGTTAGGTACATCGTAGAGAACAGGAACGCCAGACAGAATTAGTACCATTTAAGCCCTAAATATACTATATAGTTACTAAAGGATCACTCTTATTAGAAGTCTCTGAAGATGTCTTAAGCAAAAATACGAACTAAGAAGTAGTTTGAGAAAATTCGCACACCCACAAATACAGAAAATTTCGGACCTGGAGAACTGGGGAAAATATACCAAATCAACGGATTTAAAACTAATTGTCTATGTTTGACTTTTAAAAATGATACTAAGGTTAGCTAAATACAAGATCTTTGGGACCAAAGGCACTTTAGCAATTAATTCTCTTACATTTTATTTTCTTAGAAAAGTCTTGAAAACATAAACCAGAAATTGTGAAAATATATCGAATACCATCTGTTGTTCATGTTGGTTTAATATTTTTAGTACATCTTGTCATTAATTGAGAAAAGAAATGGCTAAATTTTATTACCCAGGGCTTAGGATGTATAATGTAGAGGGAGCCATTACTTGTAGATAAAATGTTGTTGTTCTCTTCTGTTAATACTGTCAAATAAAAAAAAGGAAGAATATAATGTTATCGCTCGAGCAAGTTTGTTTACAACTTGTCTGAGTCTCGATAACACTCATTTTTTATGTGCACACTCGCCTCAAACCATATAAATGGGACTTACAACCCCTGCTGCGAAAACAAGTCTTGGCCCACTACATCACGCCTAAAGCAAATTTGATCTATTTTTAAGGTAGCAGCAGAGATATGCCTGTCCAAAGGCAAAACCAACACATAGATATGTATATACCGTATGAGTCAGAAGCTAGACGTCGTCGTTGGCTGATAAGGGCTATCAGTAAGCCCCGGTACCAGCGGTTCACAACGACAGAGAACACGTTATGATGGAGCAAAAATTATATTTATGTAAGTATGAATAATCCGAAATATAATGTCAAACAACAAGCAGCTCTCTCCACATACATATATACTTGTAATACAAGTATACTGCCTAGCTACGATCTCTTCATATAGTGGAATAGTAGGTGGTATCCAGTTCTTCTGCCGGTAGGCCCTTTCTATATTGAATATAACCGATGGTACTGAAGATGGCCTCAGAAATTTCTGTAAACAAATGCAGTAGGAAATCCATTTGCATTATTATAAACCAGGCAATCACAATGAGAACGAACATGGCAACTCCAGTTACTGCGAAGCCGGTCAACTACAATTAGAACCGCAGAATCAGAGATCATCAATCAGAGATAGTTGAAGCTAATATACAGACCCCCGCGGAGCAGGATTCCTGTGACTTTACTGTAAGCTGTCTACGAGGTGGAATGGGCTCATTACCGGGGTGTATCGAAACACTCTTACGTTTGCTCGAACTGAGCGAAATCTCATCTACGTCTGACGTTGAGTCCTCATCGTTCTCAACGATTATAGATTTCGACTTTGTATCGACTGGTTCCTGCGTCCTTTCTACCATTTGGCGCTGAATATATTTCAAGAGCTGCTTTATTGCCTTAGAGATGTACATTTTACAAATTTAGCAAATAATTCTATACATTTCTATTTTCCTATTTGTATTCACTTAAATGTTATCCAAAACATCACCTGCTTTGTTTCGCCTTTCCAGTTGTCGTACTTGTATGTAGCTATATCCTTAACTCAAGCTTATTGTCTTTCTATTTCTGGCTTCTTACAACTATATGACCTCATCAGAGAGCTTCATATTCAGTGTTCGGAGGCCGGGCAACCAAACCATTACCAATTAACACTTAACTCACAGCTTAGTCAAAGCCCAAGCCACGCCAACTACTGGCACACAAAAGCCAAATACGTGCAGTTGCCAAACACTTGCCAATTAAGCTCAACATTACGCGAATTTGTGCGACAAGTGCCCCAAACTTTATGGGTAAGCCGCATAATTTAATGGCTGACTTTGCAAAATAGTTTAACGCTCCACAAAAGGAAGCACGATGGCGACGGGGACCGACAAACCGACCCATGCTTTTGAAGGTCAATGCGGCCGGCCAGGTGTTAAAAATTCTAACAATTGAAATTTCTTTCATTCTTGTAAAACGAATGTTAGGGGCTCATTAGCGTGTAGTGTATCGAATTAAATTCTGTTCCTGGTCTGGGCCTGTAATGGATTTAGTCTCAGTAAAAGGAATCTTTTACCTGTAATACAACTACGTTTCAGTTAAATTCTAAGCAAGTTAATTAGATACCTATTTACTCGATAAAAACCATATTGAATAGCATCAACATTCGTCTCCCTTATATGGATAAGTTTAAATTAATTTAATGCTATATTATGTAATCCACAAACAGACATGAAAAGACAAAATTCATGTGTTTTTTTTTTATCAAAAACTTTTAAAAAGGTACATCCATCAATTGAGCTATGTATGTGTAGGTGACAGGGATTTGTAGAATCAACTCTGAAATTCCATTCTTATTTATTTTTTCATGAATAATTTTTTGTTAATATTTTAATTATTTTAACTCCAATCTATCGCAACTCTAAGCCATGTCTAAAAGTAGGCGAATAAAAAAGATTTCAGCAATAAAACTTAGAACGTTAAAAACTGGGATATACCTTGTTAGTTACTTAAACGGAATCAAACTATTATGATATTTATTCAAGAACCTTCGATTTCAATGAGATATCTGTATCAGTCGGTAACGGTTGCAGCATCCCACAAATAATAAAAGCAAATATTGAATTAGTATTGGAAATTAATCTGCCTGTGTCAGCCAACAGTATTCGGCTTTTAGAAAGTGCAAGTCAAAAAGGAACAGAAATTAATTTTAAGCTTCTGGGTTTAGGTATTTACATATGTATACTTGTATTTCTGGTTCATACATATTTCTCTCCATTTATTTTACTCAAAAACAAAAGGGTCTTGGTTTGGAGCCCTAGATTCAAACTAAAACTTGTTGCCAAAAGCGGCATAATTCATTCAATTCTGAAAGCCGATTTTTAAGCCCTTACAATGTTGTTGTACGATTCTAGTAGTACTCCAAATGATGAGTTACTTACCTGGGAAAATCTTTAAAATTTCGGTTTCTGGAAGGCGTTGTCAACTCGCCCGTTGGGTCCGCACTGATCGAACGTTTCATGTTTTCTGCCTTGGAATCATTGTTGGTGGTCGTGAGGACGGCCGAGCCGCTTTCGCTGAGCACATATTCCACCGGCACTTGCGGATCTGCCTCAAAGTCTGATATCTGATCCACTTCATCCTCGGATCGCACCTCATCGATGCTGGTGCTCGTGCGGGGGTTTGAGGTGGCGCTGTTGCTAGGATCGCTGCTGGAGCCGAGTGGGCCGACACGGACAAACGTCTTCTGCTCTAGACTGACATTTCGTCGATTCTCCAGCAGTTTGAGACTTAGGCGTTCCTGTTTTCTCAAGGCAATTGTCGATTTTAGAGTTTCGAAACGTTGCACCTTTTGGCGCACATCCAAGAGCGCCGGATCGGGCACGTCTGGTGTGGTAGGTGTGGCAGGTGGAAGGGACGTTGCTTCAACACCAATCTCGATCTCATTGCTGGGCGGACGCATCTTGAGCAATGAGCGGCGATTGAACGCGCCTTCCGTATCCGAATTAACAGAGTAGGAAATTTGGAATGAACTCGAGACAGAGGCACTACTACTGCTATCAGCGTCCACAGCGATACTGTGCTTCTCCGTACTGAGGCGTCGGCGCGAGTTGCGTTTATTAAAGTTGCGATTGCTGAGATTCCGCTCGCGACGAAATGGCAGCGGACTTAAGTCTTCGTCGGCCATTCTCGTGACGATTCTTGGCAGCAAAGAATGCAGCGATAAGGATTTTGCGTGGGTGTTCTTCTATCTACTCTATTTCTCTCACTCTCTCACACTCTCTCTCTCTCTCTCTCTCTTATCAGTCACGCTTCTTATCCAGCACATATGTACTGGTGCATGTAATTTGTACAATTTTGTTTTGAATTTCTCACGGTTGACGTGCACGCTCTTTACGATTCTTACGTTAACCAAATTCGTTTTTAGAGCTATTCAATGCCGTACGTTTCAGTTGTAGACTTGAATATTTATTGCGTATTTTTGTGTTGCGGCACACAAACAAATACGAATATAAAATATTCACATATGCGCGAGTATCTACGTTTGTAGAAATGTTTATCTCGTTCGTTGTTGTCGTTTGAAAACACGTATCTGGCGTTGGCGACGTCAACAGTCGCTTTGCTTTTGTTTTCACCCGCTGCAAGAAATACAAATACAGTATATACAATATTCTGATTAATCACATATTGCCTAAGTTTTTATACGAGTATGTATAACAACATGACAAAATTACGAAAACCAATTGTTAATTTGCAACATAAAACTCTCACGCTTCAGTCGCAAAATAGTTTTAAAGTCACTCGCTCAATATCCATTTATCAAATATACATATAAGAACTGTTGCCGCTCAGAGAGATTTTATTTTAAAAGTATCTTAAAAGAATTGAGTGCCGAGCAGTACAAAGATCATCACAAATACATAAGCACAAGTTTATCTACTAACTACAACAGAAAACAGCAAAAAAAGCTATGCATGTACTTTGTTTAGTTTGCAAATGACGTAAAACTGTCTCGGGTTTATAGAGAACGGAAACTTCAATAAACATGCATCCGAGTACACAAACCTAGATTAAAATGTGTTTTAGTATGAAATATGAGGGGCTCATAAAAATGTGCACATTCAAATATTTTTACAGTACATCATCAAAGTAATCTATTATGATATTGCTGTTTTTTAAATTTTCCAACTGAGTTCCAATACAATTTTCATTTGCTGCTGTCGTTGGTTTTTTAATCTCTCGTTTCTCCCAGGAGAAATTGATTTATAATTAGTAAATTTTAAATTTAAATTTAAGCATTTAAGAAAATATCATTTAAATTGAATTTACTTTTTGTTCACAGAACATGGCTCTATAAAGACAATTTTAAGATACCAAATATATTGGTAGCTTAATCATATTTTGCTCTAGCACATATATTATTTATATTTGTATGACGATAACTATCCGAAATCCTGACAAAGATCATCAATCTAGTTGGCTACGGTTTTCAAGTTATCCAAAAACAACAATAAGAAATGTTTCAGTTACAATCCAGAACGCTTGGAAGCCAGTCCGTCAAACAAAAAACAAAATTGTATCCATATTTAAAGTGCATTTAAAATTTCTTTCTTCTATTCTTAACAGTTTGAAAATTCCATTTTATGTAAGAGTTGAGGAATAAGCCAAATTATTAGTCATGAAAAAAATCGACATACACAGTGCATTCATGTCAACCAGCGGTCCCAGCACCCAGGACGACATCATCGTCGAAGTCGCTCGACAGCGAAATGTGCGTTTCAATGATCTGCCTGAGCTGAAGGAACTGGTGGTCGAGGCTCTGGACGAATGCTTGGAGTTGGGCTTCATACAAAAAAATAGAGGAAAGTATATGCTGACCTTGTTAAAAAAGAAAAAGATTGGTAGCAGCGCTAGTCCTAGTACCGCAGTCACGAAGACAACCACAGCACCCACCTTGGCGCAAGCAAAAGAGAAGGAGACGACTTTGGGAAATGTCCCATCATCGCATGTGGATCGGGAAGAGCGATCACGTAGACGAACTCAATCACAAGTCAGCAGACGCTCCCGCCGGTTGAGCACAAAGTCGGTTGCTCCTAGCCGGAAACGTGCACGCTCCTTGAGTCTGGGATTGCCATCAAAACGCAAGGCGAAGTCGCAGCTGATGATGACCACTGGTACTTCTACTGAACGGCTTCACGAGTGCGTCGTTTGCGGCGGCTGGCATCAGGAGAAGATACTGTTGGGAGACACCCCCCAATTAGACACCCAATTAATAGCCGAAGGAAAGAGCGTGCAGAGGGGGGGAGCGGGGGAGCCAGAGTCTAAAACATGAAACTTTCGCCAATGCCAGCTCAAGGCAAGAATGGGTTTGATTGTAATCATCGTCATAATCTTTTTTTATTTTGTCCTCTGTTCGTTGTCCAGGTGTCCATGCTAGCGCCATGTGTCGGGCCATAAACCGAATGTGTATAGTGGGCTGGTCTTCTCCTGGTACCTTGCACACTCGTTTCTTTTTAATAATAAATTGTTCTGTATGCGCGCCACTGTATTACGAATATATAGTATGTCCAATATATCCATATAATGTATGTTGTTATCAGAATCAGGCACTGTGTTTTATTGCCTCCCAGATAAGAGGCTTACTAGTTGTTGAACCCATTTTGATAACTTCGCCTACATGTGCCACTTGCACTTGATTCTGAGATTGTTTTAATAAGTATTGGTAGAAATAGAACCAGAAAGCTCCTCTCGTGTAAAAATAAAATGTTCATTTGACTTCAATTCGACTGATTTAAGAGAAAACATCATAGTTACATACCTATCTGGCCAGAGATATGTTTTGATTTGCTATTACAACAAATTTTTTGGAATAGCTTCACTTCAAAATGTGAGATTTAAATTCCAATATACTTGATTCTTGATTGTCAAGCATATTAAATAGTTAATTATTAAACATATATTAAACATTAATAAAACTTCCACATTTTAAGTACTAACCAGATTTTTGGAAATATATAAAAGAATATGCCCACAACAAGCTTACGAATAACACCGAAAAGCACAAATAATTCTCAGGTCGTATATACAAGTATAGTAAGCCGAATGATCTAAGTTGAAGCTAGACCAGTAACAAACAAATATCGCTAAAGGCTATATACACTTTGGCATAAGCAGAATCAAGGATAGGTAGACCCCACTTACCTACCTATCCTACCACGTCCAGTTGAGTGCATGTGCTTATCTGTCTAACTGTCCCTTTTCCGCGCCAAAGTTCCGGATGTAACGCTGTTCTTATCTATTCAACTACCTTCCACTCTGTCTACTTGGTTATCATTTGAAGGTTAAATATTTACAATGCACATGTCGGGCCCACCTTGACTTTATTATTGGGTGTTGTGGTGCGATATTTAATTCTATTTTAAGAATATATGTATGTATTCAAAATCATTATTCAAACGGTCTTTATATGAAAAAATACCCGCACAAAAAAGGTTTTTATTATCAACAACAAAAGAAAAGAATTGAATTTATATACGATTATTAATCGTGCGCCTTATGTATTAGGTGATAAGAAACAGGTGCAGCGGTTTTGTTATCGCAACTGAGTCATAAAGCGGCTTAAGTTTGTCCCTTTAATTTATGACCAATATATTCATTTAAGTTATAAATAATATCAAATGTAAATAAACTCCTAGATTAAGTTGTAATTGAATTTTGCTATAAGTTTAATTTAAGTTATTGAAATATTAACAGCATAATTAAAGTGTATATATCTGGAAAGAAATTAATTAATTCATTTATGATTTTATGCGCCATTCATTTTTTGTGACCAATAGCAAGGTAAGTGTAAGGAAAATTGCTCAGGAATTATAAATAAATCATTTTTAAATATTACCTAGACCTCCTATAGTGCGCGTTCGCTTAAACAGGTTGTAGCTGCTTTAACCGCCATCAACTAGTATTTACTTAAAGTACGTTATTGTTAATATTCATTAACCTCTAAAACAAACTTCAAATATATGTACATAGTATAGTATGTAAGTAAAATAGATAACATACTCTGTCTCTCTCGTCTCTCTCAATTACCCCCTCTAATCTGTCGATTGCTTTTGAAGTGGTTTCTAGGAATTTCCGGCACTAAAATGAATGCATATACGACTATTTTTTTTGTATTGTTCAGATAAAAGTAATGGTAAATGATTAGGGGAACTACGAGTATGATTGTCACTTTTTATTTGTTTATTAGCGCGTGTTCTTCCATAAATATAAAGTGTTTAGGCAAATTGCGATATCGTTAATATCGTTGAATAATGATCTGTCCTAGGTTGGACATTTATTAAATGTTATGATAACTTTGACATTTTTTCAAACCACGTTTCTTTCATAATAATTGAATTTAAACATTTCAAACACATGATAATGATGCTTTTGTATTTCTTGTTCTAGTTGTAGGTTAAATATCTCAAAGGAAAGGTAATAATAATATATTATTCGCCACTTGAATCAACATAATGCTAGTCCTCGAAAAATATTGTAAAATAAATAAAGACTCGATATATAATACTTGGCCTTATTGCAAGTTCTGGAACAGCTATAGAGCACACTCAGATGTACATATGTACATACATATTTAACAAATAAACTGGCAATTGCTCGTGCACGGATGTTTGTAGGTACATGTGTGTGTGTGTGTGTGTGGAAAGACACGCTCTGTTGAGAGCTAACCGCACTCAGCTGATAACAAAGTTACGAAAAATGAAGTGAGAAAAACTAATAGCAACAGACACCGCTTAGTACGAACGTACATATGTATAAGTATGTATGTATGTATATAATGGTATAATTTCCATACAAACGCAAATATACTCGTAGAAATACAAATTCATGCATATACATTTTAAATAAACGAATATCAGAAATTTGAATAAATAATAAAAATAAAATAAATAAATAAACTTTGTTACATGCATTTTTTATTTATTTTTTTTTTTGTTGATCTGGTCAAAATTATTTTGCTGTTTTATATACATATGTACTTATTTACATATTTTTGAGTCCACAGGTCTCGAAGTAAATAATTTTGTACGTTCATAATTTGTGTGCACGTGTTAATTAAACAATTAGCTGGCATTTTGAAAGCGTGTTTTTTTGCTGATTGCTTTCAGTTGCGATTGGGTTTTTTTGTGTTTTTGTTCGGTTTTTGCATTTTCATGCTCCTGCCATTTATGACACTTACATTTGTTGTTGGCACACGATCTTATTCGCTGTTAAAATATACTATACTCGTATGTTGTATTTTGTTAAATTTGGCAACCATTTAATGCTCTCTCTTTTTGAATAGAAGTGTCACCGGCGACACAGCACGGCGTATACGCAATGCACGCAAGTACGATATTTCGATTCTTAATTAACTGCCGACGCAATAATGTATGTGTGTACGAGTATATAAGTGCGACTGTACGCGTGAGGTGTTGTTATTATTGTTGCTATTGCTTCGTCTTCTTGTTCCCACTTGAAAGGTTTGCCGCGCAGCCGGAACCGACAGCTGACGACAGAGACTGAGACTCAGAAAGAAACAAACCGAGAGACGACAAACGTTCGCTCACCTGCGCATGTGAATTCGCACTGAGCAAGAATTCGCATTGCAGCGAGCTGGCAGCGCATGCCGTTTGTGTGCTTATTTGTGTGTGTGTGTGTGTGTGTTTGTTGCTCGCGCCTCACTTTTATTTGTCGCTACAGCTTGTTGTTGTTGGTTTTAACTGTTTTTACTGGCAATTGCCGCTGACTAGCTGTTATAATTTTTTTATGCATTATGCTTTTATTATTTAGAGTACAAACACATACAAATAAATAACAATATTGTGTTTGTGTGTATGTGTGTATGTGGAAGTGTCGTTGGCTTTCCACAACAAATTTTTGTCATAATTCTCTTTTGTTTTACACTTTATTATTATGCTTTTTATTTACATGCGGCATAAATTCTTAATTAGTCTAGGCCAGCATTACAATTGTACAAACAGACAATCGTACAGATAGGGGCAACACGAAATGGCCAAGAAATATGCAGAAATGCAGAAATGTCGGAAGAAGTAGATTGGTCCTATAAAAACGTAAACTTTTTACATACATACATACATATGTGCATATTAGGAACTCCGTTGATGTAGTCCTAGTCTGCCCTCTAACTAATTATGCATGCATGTATGTATGTATATATGTACATATGTATATATGTACATACCAATTTCAGACGGGTGAAGATTTTATTTTATGATAAGCCTCAATATATACATACATATTTTATTATTAATAAACGAAGGCAACGAATAAATACACAAGAGTATAAGCCATTTGGGGAGAACCAAATTAATCATTATCAATACATACTCGTACTTATATATATATGTAGGTACATACATTTACATGCACAATAGCTATGACACATCGATGAATTTTGATAAGATTTGTAATTTAAAATGGAATACTATATTCAAAAGGTAATTAAGTATTCTCGAAATACGACAGAGATCTTTGATATTATAATACAAAATACTATTTATATCGAACATCTGCTGTGCCATGCTTAATTAACTTTAACTTTTCTAAATTGTCTGAATATAAGAAAATGTCTACACATATGTACATACATTGAATGATTTCATATCAAATCTTGAATGCATTATCTTATCGGCTTATCAACAATGCGATCGTGCCTAAGTAGTACTAGCTCAAGCATTGAGGCCAATTGACCAAATGCGTCGTTTCCCATTCTATTTATCTTTCTATACGCATATACATATGTATGTAAAAACATACATATATATATTTCTTGTACAACTTTTGCTTATCTTTGCACAACGTTATACCAAGTACATACTTATGTATGTATGTAGGTGCTTGGAATCTTGAAGGCCTCTTTAATAAATATGGGTTTAAAATAAACCTCAATCGTTGGGGGAGTCACCTAAACCTGTGCTAATGATTATTGAAGTTATACATATAGATATATCTATGATATAAAAGTATACATATGTAGTTGGACAAAACACATTAATACTAAAAAGTATAGTATACTTTTTAAAAAAAAAATCAAACATCTTAGAAGCCCCATCTTAAGAATATGTCACACAATGCTTGAAAATAATTCACGAATCAGGAAAAAATTGTTTGTGCAAAGGGCACACAAACAAACTATATTTTGCAACGCAACTGCCATTATTTGAAAAAGCTCAACAAGCTTTTCATTTATGACAAAAACAAGCAGTTGCCTGTGGTATTGGCTTTTGAATTTTAGCCATACGGCAACTCTGCTTAGTGCTACCACAAAGACAGATTAAGAATACCTCAATAGAGATTTCATAGCTTTTAGTACTCCAGAATTTTGTAAAATCATAAAATAATCGTTCGAGCCGATACTAAATATATTAACAACTTAATTAAACTAATAATTTCTTTATTTATACGAATTTTTTTCCATTTATAGCGTATTCTTAAAACTTATCTTTTTATTTAACAAGCTACATTTATACATTTTTAATAAAATTAATTTCGATTAAAATCTAAACATTAAAATATACATGCGCCAAAGCAACAACACTGCTTTAAACAGCTTTTCGCTGCTGTTCACTTAACACCCATATTGACAAAAGTTCATAGCAGAATACTGGTAGTATAAATTCAATTAAAAATTGAACCAATGTACATACTAAGTATATAAAGAAAATCAGAAGCTTAATGAGAGTATAGATGACTTAGTCCAGGACACAATTACGGAATCGGGCCAATTTCCTGACGTTTTAAAATGTAAAAAATAAAGTCGAAAGCTTGCTCTCGTAATTAAAAAATAACACAAGTAGCGACGTACTTAAACGTTTCGTTATAGTTAGAGTAGTATGTTTTAAAAACTCTTTTCCGGAATAAAAGGGAGCAACCTATAAACTTCAAAATAGTTTACATGACTTATAAATTGAGATGTTTGAAGCGATACTAGCCTTCTAAGTGTTATCTGCGTAATGAACAAAACACACTAAACGGATTCAGAATTTTTTCGTATAAATTCCGAAAAATGTAATGCGTATAATTATTTGGGAAATACGAAATCAACACTTCTATCTAGAATGACGTCTGAAATTAGTTACCCGTAAAAGGCGTAAACACAACGCCCCGACGGTAGTCCGTTTTCGTCTATCCCTTGTCTCCTTTCGCATAAATAAACTTAAAAGGCTCTCAAATTTCTCTGCCTGGCACCGACTTGGCACCGCCGTGCAAAAATTCGAGGTAAAATCAGAAATACAGTATGTTGGCGTTTCAAATTTCCTGCTTACTAATCTTTGATTGCTTGTTAATTATAATAGTAACGCATTTATCGCATTTTTCTCGTTCTCATAAGCTAATAGGTAGCTCAGGAAATCTGCAATGCAGCCAACTTTGAGGCGTAGGTGTACGTCTTGCGTAAAATGACATTACCTAGAGAAATTTCCATTCTCTCTACATCGACACTGAGAATTTCTCTTCCCCGCAATTTATTCGCCGCCTCATTTATTTAAATGCTAACCCAAGAGAAGTTAAGTTAGCTACAGCTTCAGTATTTTGAATGCACACGTTTCACTAATCCTCAATCAATTTTAAATTACTGGTCCTGGACTAAAGAGTTGGCCTTTACTTTGGCGCCTTGCAAATATTATCCATATATAGTAATGTAAATATGCATCTATTTTTATATTTAGACCTCAACCGTTTGTTTGAACGATAATTAAAAGCCCAAATACTGTTGAAACGATATGGCCAACTAAAAGCTTAACAAATATTGAAATAGACTTAGTTACCAGTCATAATTGTCTCATAATTGAAAACTAAATTTGTCCAGCACAATATTTAGTTTAGTGCATAAATAATATACTAAAATATTGGTTGCAGCAAGAGTATTAAGTTAAAGAGCGTTGAGCGTTCTCATTTCATGATATATGTATGTATAAGTATGTTACATACTCGTACATACGTACATACACATATACTTAGTATATAATATTATCATCAATTTAGTTATGGCAGCTTTAATTGGTAGCCCTACTAAAGTACGCACATGGCAAATTATCGTTTAAAGCAATGTTTTACATTTTTTATTCGGAGAGTGTGCAAATAAGGGAGAGGGAGAAGGCCCCACGCCCACGCGCTGTCTCCAAACCGGCTGCCGGCTCTGCTCTCGGACTCTCATAGGCGCACCGATAAGCAACGGGGTACTCTCCCAGCGTGGCCGGCATGGGGAGCGTATAAAAATCGCGATGGTGCCCACTGCAAGCCCAGTTGCTGTGTAATCGTTCCTGTGATCGGTTCAGTGTTTGTGCTGTTTTTCTTGGCTAAGGAGGAGAGCCGAAAACCGACCGTAAGGCAAAAGAAACGGCTTTAATTGATTAATATCAAATTCTAATTGGAGCCAAGTGCCAGTAATATTTGACACAGTTTTAAGGTAAGGCGCCACCCATATAATTCTATAAATGGACTATGAAGGACAGGAAGTATTCTTCAGTCTTGTGAAATTAATTAAAAAAATAAAAAAAAAAAACTTAAGTGATGTAATATGACAAAAGGTTTCGCAGATGCACACTACTATTTGAAAAACAATTTTCGAACTTCGAAAATCAGAAAATCGAAGCCAAAACACCGAATGTCAAGCTTCGCCGTTGTCGTATTTGTTTTTGTCGGCGTCGGCGGTGGCTAAAATTAGCACCAACCGCTATAAAGACAGCGACAACTATTTAATTGTACGTCCGAAAATTTGTGGGTCAATAGATTCGAATTCAAGAAGTTTTGAACTCGTTTGCATTCGCAGTTTTCACTTGCCTTCGACACGTAGTACACTCGAATCATTCGCAAGCAAATATGTGAAGGACAACGACGTGTGTGGAGCAATCGAACATCGAAAAAGCAATTCTAGAAATCTTTTTCGAATTGCCTAGAGATAGAGAATTCAAAAAATTTCAATAATAAAGTGAGTGCGTAAAAGTTGTTCAAAAAGTGAGGAGGTATTTAAGAGTTGTGCCATCAAAGTTCTACAGTTTTGCCACACTGTGCATGGGAATATTTTGGAAAATTTTATTACAATCCCAACAACATTATTAGACAGAACTATTTGAAAACGTATAAAAATTATTTTCGAAAAATAATAAATGCGTAAAAAATCCTTATGTAACGACAAATATGCACAGAGTACTACACCTATCCAATGAACAGAATGTTCCAAAAAGAACTGAAATTGATAATGAATAGCAGTTGATTACCGCGTACATACATGAACATATATGGTGTTGTTTGTTTAATAATAAACATATTGCCTCCAGCGTTTATTTAAAAGCTAAAAGAAACTGAAGTCAATTGAAAAAGCACTGATAAGCGCGCCCCCTGATTTCATCATTCCATCAACATTTGATAAGGCGGTCTGGCTACGTCTGTGTTTTCTCAGCGATGGAGCTGACCATATGGCCAGATGGAATTTCATACAGCACGTGCTTTCGCACATACAAGCATATGTATGTATGTGTATATATGAATGTGTGCATACGTAAGGATTATGTGTTGAGGTTCTTGACCTTGGCCAGGCCACATTTTGCCAATCAATAGTGACACAGACACACATACATACATATGTAGATAAAGTCTATATGTATTTAATATATTATCTGGACTATTTGTAATACTGCCTTTAATCTAAAAGTATCAAACATTAAATTAAATCGTTGCCATTTAACGCCCTCTCTGTGTTTTGCATTGCATTCACATGCAATTTTCGACTTGGCGTGATGGCAATCCAAGGCAATTACCAATGCATATCAAAGCGCTAAAATAGCCCAAATTTAATTAAATCATGACACTAAAAAACTTGCCCAACGGACACCACCCCACCAGCCGCCCGTTGTACAGTTAAATTATATTTAATTGAAGCGTTGCAAGATCTGCCAGCAACAAGTGTGAAAGTGCAAGCGAGCACGCAAGAATCGATTAGACAGAAAGGCAAGCAGCAAAGCGACGAAACCGAGAAAGAAAAAATCGATTGTTGCAATTTGAGACTCGCGAAATGGCAAAAGAAGAGGCGGCGGACATACGGACAGGCGGACAGCGGCAAAGAGAGGCAGAGGTAGGGCAATCAGGGAAAAAAGCAATCAACCATTACCAGGGGGCAGGTGGGCAGAGGAGGTGCCTGCTTTTGACTGACTGGGCGCACTGCCAAATGTGGCAGCAATGCATGTGCAACGACAACAGCAACAGCAAATGACGACAAAGGTTCTCAAAACTGGTTTACAATCCACAACATATCATCCACCGGCAACTGCGGCCCGGTCTCCGTGTAGGACTTAGTCTATCCATGGCCCACGCTGTCGCTGCAGGCTGATCTTGCATTTGTCAACTAAATGCAAAAAAAAAAAAAACAAAATATAAAATAAAATCACTGACTATATTCAGACAATGGCAAAGGGGCGTTCTGATTTTGCGCCAACGCCCTGTCGCCTGAGCTTGACTTGTGCTTTGCTTGCCTCAGCAACAGGGAGACGGCAAAAAAAAACACTGAGATAGACAGACAGACGGAGAGTCATAGTGATAGACCAACAGATATGTTGTTGTCAGGCGACGGCGTCTTCGTTAATGTGCGTGGGTGTGTATGCATTTCCGGTTTATAGCCATAAACAAACTTCAAGAGCAGAATATTATGGCAGTGTTATTATGCGCTTGCATATAAAGAAATGAATTTGATTAATTACTTATTTGTCTCAATATTATTGCAGTTCGGTATCTATATTACCATTTAGGGCCATACTACTTGAAAAAAACAACAATAATAATTGACTAATAATTGGGCAATAAATCACAAGAAAATAGTTGCAACAATTTGCAAATAAATGCAGTTTTATAACTATGTATGTAGATGAATACACAGGCAGCAATATATTTTGGTATGCATTGAAAAACCGTCTGAAGGCTACGGAATAAATATATACATACATATGTATAAAAGGTACATTTAAATAAAACTGTAAGGTTTTAAGAGGTGTTTAGCTTTCACAATCATTGACAGCAAAAAGATTTTCGTAATGTTTTTAAAACTGTTTTTAAAATACCAAATTAAACATTTTTACCTGAAGAATACTTTCTACTTGTAGTACATATATTTGTATCAATATTGGCTGTTCTGTGGCCATAACGCAGTTTTTATTGCTTTGTACTTACTATTAGTACAACTTGTAAGAAAAAAAAGTAACTACCGTTATCACAATTCTATCGAAACGGCTTGCGCACTTCTTCTTCGTTATTTTGCCTTTTAAGTGGCAAAATAAAACTTGAAAATTGATTAAAAAGCGCCTATTCATTTATTTAGCTTAATATAAAAATAGTTTAGTTTAACCAATCAGATCTGAAATATATTGAAATATATGCTAGCTTGTTACTCACTGTTGTTTTGTTTTATTGTATAAAAGAACACTTTCCGGTTAGAAGAATAATTTAAGCTCTCACGCTCTCTGATTTGTATTCCATGCACACATGTGAATAGTTATCGTTTCTAATTAGCACATACATATGTACATACATACATGTATACCTTATATCTCAAGTATCATTCATAATCTGCGTGCACATAGGCGCTTTTTATTGTGGGTACGTATGTATATAAAGCAGTGTATGTTACGTCAAAAATAAAAGAGTCCTTGGCACAAATTGTCAGAACAACAGCTTATCTTACAAACATCGTATAAGCACTTTAGTATAAACAAATTTAACTTTTGCCGCTCTTTACGTGAGGCAAAGAAAAACGATACTACTTGTAGTTCTAGAAGGCAATAAACCCGTTGAGTAAAAACTTAATTGAACCGATGTGTAATGTGGTTATTCTTCATGCGTTGTATAATTTCAGAAAATTGCATTGAACAAGCGCAAAAATGGCCGATGAAGCACAAGCACCACCAGCTGAGGGCGCCGCACCCGCCGAGGGTGCAGAGGCAGCACCACCTGCCGAGGGAGCCGAAGGCGCTGAGGGTGCACCGCCAGCTGAGCCCGCTGCACCAACCGAGCCGATCAAGCACTCCTACACGCTTTTCTACTTCAATGTCAAGGCCTTGGCCGAGCCGTTGCGTTACCTCTTCGCCTATGGAGGCATTGAGTACGAGGATGTGCGTGTCACACGTGACGAATGGCCCGCCCTTAAGCCGAGTAAGTGTTTCAATGTTAACCAATGGTTGAGTTCTATGCCTAATTTCGACCATTCCGAACAGCCATGCCTATGGGTCAGATGCCCGTTTTGGAGGTGGATGGCAAGCGTGTTCATCAGAGCATCTCGATGGCCCGTTTCCTGGCCAAGACTGTGGGATTGTGTGGTGCCACACCCTGGGAGGATCTGCAGATCGATATTGTTGTTGACACCATCAATGACTTCCGTCTAAGTAGCGAACAATGTGTGACCCATTTGCATGTTCAGTGTTCTCGATTAACGTTTGAATTTTTAATGTGTAGAAATTGCAGTCGTTTCGTACGAGCCGGAGGACGAAATCAAGGAGAAGAAGTTGGTCACCCTGAACTCGGAGGTCATTCCATTCTATCTGGAAAAACTAGAGCAGACCGTTAAGGATAACGATGGACACTTGGCCTTGTCGAAGGTATTGTTATTGAAAAACAAACTTCCCAAACACCGGACATATTCAAATCTTTCGGTGTCCACAGCTCACTTGGGCCGATGTCTACTTTGCTGGCATCACTGACTACATGAACTACATGGTCAAGCGCGATTTGCTCGAACCCTATCCGGCATTGCGCGCCGTCGTCGAAACCATCAACGCCTTGGAGCCCATCAAGGCCTGGATTGAGAAACGTCCAGTAACTGAGGTCTAAGGCAGCCACTCACTCACCAGACTTGGCAGCATCACAGCGAAAAAGAAAACACATTACACCACAACAAGATCGCCCACACACACAACACACCATTTTGTTCCTTTTTTGTAGACTTATAAACCCACAGATTTTCGCAAATCGGCAATGGGCTCCGTTCTAACTACGTTTAGGTTAAAGCACATGGTACTAAATAATTCTTTGCATAATTCTCTTTGCATTATAATGAAATGGATCTACTAATTAATTTAAATCGAATTTTGGGGATCGCGTCTTAATAAAATTGCACAGCCTTAATATATTGCTCTACTTTTAGAACGTTTAGCACGTAATAATTAAAAAGAAAATTTAACTTTTCTTTTATGAATATATATACAATCGCTTTCATATATTTACATAACATAATGTATGCAAATCGCACATCCTTCTAGGCTTATAAACTATATTTGTAATTCGCAAAATATTTAAACAACAGTTCAAAACAGCAATAACAATTACAGCAGCTATCAGCCGAAAATTTATATATATATCATTTTTTATTCGAGCGCAACATCGGCCACCCTCAAGAATTTTCTTTGTCATAAAAAAGACTCAACAAAAAAAATTTAGTCACAACAAAATTGTAGTCACCACTCGAATGTAATAAACAAGAAACAGACGAAAACTGCCAACTAAATTTAACTATTTTATTATTTTTCTAACGGCCAAGCGCTTAAACTTTGTAATTGTATTTTCAAAATATTCTCACAATGTTAAAAAATGAACAACACTTTAAATAAACAACACACAAAAAAAATTAAGCACATTTTTTGAAAGCACGAAAATAAGTTTTATTTTTTCCTAAATGGAAATAAAATGTGGAATGTACACTAAAAACAAAAATGCAGTAGAAAAAACCTTTGGTTATTAAATATTCGGTACTTCGCAAATTACCCTTAGTTGGTTCGCTAGATACTAACCTCCACCACAACCATACATCAAAAACGTCCCATCAAAATGTATGGTTAATGCCTCCACTAACTTCTTCGGCTTTTATTACTCAAATTTGTGTAGATATAGTCCTTCGTGCTATTTATCCAATCAATCGGGACAAGTACTCTGAGCCAGAGCAATGGGAAATATTTCAAATTCAATAAAGGTAGTACTACCCTCACCACTTGGGTCCTGGCATAGCTCAACTACCTAGCAAGAAACCAACAATGTGAGTTTTTTTTTCAGATAATGCTCTCGTTCGAATCAGGGCGCTAAAATACTTGCATTCTTAATTATTTAAATTTATTAATTTTAAAAATGTCAAACTGTAGCGTTGCCAAAGCTTGCATGCCAATTCGCAATACAACAATTAACAAATTAAAACTCCAGAAATCTAGATTTATAATGATGAAGCTTGACATATAGACATTTAATTTTTACTTTTCTTGCTGGTGACACACTAGAATAATTATTAAAGCCACACTGGCCCCATACTTTTTTATCGTTTGGCGCCATGTGTTCTTTGATACGGCAACTCTTCGATGTACTTTGTGTACTTTAATTTCTTTCGGCCTGTAACTGTCATTCTAGTTGTCAAGTTTTTGTTTCCTAATCACAGAACTGAGTTGGAACGCTGAAAACTGGCCACCTTGCGCCTAGAAAACGAAGAAATGAGTAGTCAACGGGAAGTAGAAAAGGCAAAATCAATACTTAAAATAAAAGAAGTGGAAGAACCAATTCCGACAGTATTCTCGACATTTGAGCCAGACCAAAATTTTGAACAGTTTTTAGCTCAGTTTTCAAATTTCCTTGATAAAGCGGAAAGCGTCGCAAAGCCCCAGCTGTCGAGACCCAAAGAAGTTCATATTACCAAAAATAAGTTATTGGACATAGAAGTTCTGCCTAAGTCAAGCTCTAACCTAACGAAAGGAACACAAACTTATTTCACATATGTGGAACTATCAGAGTCGGTGCCTTCAGCACCCAGGAGCAATTCCATAACTGAAATGACTATTGAGCAACTGGAAGAAAAGCCAGAATCTCCGCCAAATTCCCCCTCTCCCACCTACACCTTGGAACAAAAGGAAGCTATTACTTTGAGTACAAAATTCCAGACTTCTGTGTTACGCAGCGGACGAGTTATGGAACGCATCTTGGGCCAGAATAGGACCAAGCTTGACTTTGAAGGCGGCAGCGATACTAAAGTTGTTAGCTTCCAACGCTGCTTTAAGGACGAGCCCAATACACGTCCACACAGCATCACATCTTTGGATTGCTCCCACCAATATGCCGAGCTCATTTTAGCCAGCTATCAAAACCAGAGCCAGTATATCAACAGTCGCCAAGGTGGCAATGGTTGCGTGATGCTTTGGAACTTGAAAGCCAGCAAGAAGACCCCAGAAGAGACCTTCCGCAGTGAAAGCGCCGTGATTAGCGCTTGCTTCTCTCTCAACCATACTCAGATCGTCATAGGTGGAACGTATGCCGGTCATGTGCAGCTCTGGGATATGCGTGCACCACTGCGTATACCCGTTCTTCGCACACCATTGACACCGCTTGCTCATTTCCAGCCTATCTGCGGGCTAAATCAGCTGGACAACAATCAACTGTTAACCTTATCTACGGATGGCAAACTGTGCACTTGGCGTCAGGAAATGCTATCCCGTCCACTAACTACGCTTCAGCTGAGCCAAGCGAATCTTAAGATCGGTGCCACATGCCTGGAACTCGACATAAATGGCGACCTGTTGGTGGGCAGTGAGCGGGGTCATGTATTCAAGGCACAACGAACCAGTGGCTTAAAACATATTTTTGCTGGTCATGAGGCGCCCGTTACGGGCATTTCCTGTCATCGCCAACTGGATCATCTTTTCTTAAGCTGCTCTATGGATTGGTCCATAAAGGTATGGTCGAAGAAGCACCCACAACCACTTGGCTCACTAGTTGACAACTCGGATTATGTAATGGACGTGGCCTGGTCGCCTGTTAATCCGGCTGTATTTGCTGCTATTGTAGGCTGCGGCCGTTTGGACGTCTGGTATTTGAATTATAGCACTGTGAAGCCAACTGCAACCATAACAGTGGGTATAGATGCTGCGCCCAATCGTCTCTCTTGGTTCCCCAATGGCCAGAAACTGGCAGTAGGCGATGCCTCAGGCCGATTGTGGATATATGAGCTGGCGGAAGATTTGGTAGTGCCTTCTGCTGATGAGAAAGCGAATTTATTAAAAGCGATCGAGGAGCTGCAGTCATGTGAAGCCACGGGCACCAACAATTTATGGCCCAATAAAAGCTAAATCATGATTTTTAGGAATGTAGCAATCCGGATATAAAATGTCACAATGTATATCTTACAAATACATCTATTTTGTCAGTTTCAAGCAGTTGGTGCCAGAGATCAGTTTGTAACCCAAAAATATTTGTTTAAAATGGGGGAGAAAAAAACAGCAACATTGAAAAATGTTGTTCCAGACACAGAACCAGAGAATGTCCTAGAGAATATTAGCAGATTTAAAACTCATCGTTCCCAACATGATAAACATCGTGAACCGATTTTGGCTGGCGATATACCTGAATTGGATCTACCACAATTGGCTCAGTTCGATGACAATGATGATGATTCCGATGAGAGCGAGATTGAAATCGAACTCTATGCGCCACGCTATCGTTATCCAACTAACTAGCCAGGATGCAAGATTTTGGCAACATTAAATGTTTAATTTCTTCATATACTAAATAAATGCACATCTGGTCCCACTGAATTTGAAGTTGCTTTGCTAATTTCTTAGTTTTCGTGATTCCATTTAGGTGGGCGCTTCTCTATAAAGCTCTGGATGCCTTCCTGGCTGTCAGCGAGCTTTAGATTATCGCACATTTTCTGTAAATTATTTACAAATTTGTTTAGTAACAAGTAGCATTTTAAATTGCAACCGCTTACAGTTTTTCCCTGCTCATAAGCCTTATTTAAGGGCATTCCCAGTTGTTGATAGAAGAACTTTTTCCCAAATGAAATGACTGCACGGCTCTTCGATTTGATGGCACAAGTGATGCGATCTATTTCATCATCAAGTTCCGCCTCGGGCACTACCTTGGTGGCCAAACCGGCTATATAAGCCTCCTCGCCTCCTATAGGCAAGCCAGTCAAGAGCATGTAAGCAGCCTTGGGGCGTGGCATTATGCGTGAAATTGCAATACCCGGCGTAGAGCAAAATACACCAACACTGGCTCTATAAAAGAAAATATGGTTATATAAGACTACATTCAGCATTGGTGACCCTTATACCCTGGCGTTGAGAACATGCTCTTGTCACTGCAAACGAGCATGTCGCAGGAAGCAACTAGTTGGCAACCGGCTGCCGCAGCATATCCATTTACTTTGGCAATAACAGGCACTGGTATTTTTTGTATAGTACTAATTATGTCGGTCAACTTTTGAAAAACGCGTTCCTGGATCTCCTGATTACCTTGCTAGAGGAGCATATGTAGTTCACAGAGCTCATTTTATGGATGCACTTTACAATATTCGTTTATAATACATACCAGCTCCTTTAAATTGTGTCCGGCTGACCACATTTTACCCTTGGCCGACAGGACAATGCAACGCAAATTGATATCATCCACATCCTTTATCATTGCATCCTGCAAAGCCGTCATCATGTCCATAGATAGTGAGTTTAATGTTTTTGGATGATTTAACATAATTTCTCTAACGCCAGAAATCTCAGAAACTGATACAAATTGTTGTTGCTCTTCTGTGGCATTGCTGGCCAAGCGGTACGCCCCGTAGCGGGAATGCTATTTAAAATGTTTTTTGCAAATAAATATATACATAAATGTACTTATTGTTTTGATATTTTCTTACTATTTTTAAACAAGTTTGTAAGCTGCGCAGCATTTTATCTTCTTACTTCAAAAATCAACTGGTGACAGAAAACAGCTGATTAATAAGTAGTTTTCGATACCAGCTCAACTGATGCAAATCAGCTGTAGAACAGTGTTTCTCAACACTATATATACGGCCAACCAGGCCACCATATGATATTGCCAACGAAATGTAATAAACAATTAAAATGTGAGTAGTCTTATTTACCCGGTTGTGCTCAATATAAATACATATGCACAAAATTGCTTACTAAAAATTATATGAATTTGGACTATTAAGTGGCTGACCGCACCTAACACAATTCAACAGGTACTTGTACAATTGCATCTTATATTCGTTTGTTGTATATGCAATTGCAACAGCTGAGCAGCACGCAACAACAACGATCTATTAATGTACGATGTACATACATACATTTGTATACTCACACACGTCACATGCATGAATGTATGTGTTGGTGTGTGCTTCAACATTCATAAGTTTACATGCATTTATCAGTTAATATACCGTTTTGTGCGCGATTAGCAGCACAACGCCATATATTGGCATAAATAAACATATGTACATACATACGAGTGTTCATTACTTTCAGTTATTAGAGTGAAGCGCACGAATGCGGTGTTGATATTGGCGCTCGCCCGATTAAAAAACGAGGGTTTGCTTTAATTTTAGTCACGCTGCTTAGGTGAAATTGATTGCGCGTAGCCCCACCGTAGACCCACCGTGCAAAATGCGTCCGTTTTCTGGCAGCGATTGCATTAAGCCCGTTACAGAGGGCATAAACCGTGCCTTTGGTAATCGCGAGCCTTGGCAGATCGCAACTATAACAGCAACAACAGTGCTGGGAACAGTTTGGATATGGACAATTTTCAATCAGGATGAAAGTGAGTATTAACAAAGGACTCATAAGAACTCTTGTAAATAACTCAGACAGACATCGGTTTTAGTTAAAGTCCACTGACCTTCAGTTTTTTATCAGAACATAATGACAGGCACAGTCATAAATACAATCTTATCTTGGGAGTTTACTTTCCGTTATGGACTTATGAGCCTACAAGTGCCAAGTAAAAGAAATACATAAGTACTCTTGTACATGTACACAAAAAGGAATGTGTTACTTTGAACTTTACATAATCTTTAAACTGTTGAAACCCGCACTTACCCTCGATCGCTGCTTCGAGCTATCAAGATGTTATCAATTTTTTGGTTGACCCCAAATATACGATTAGCTTGCACTCGCTTACTGAGCACTCGCGTTTCTATATAAAACTATTTGAGATTAAATTTCAAGTTCCAGATTAGCCGTAGATTAAAATGTGTCCAAAGGCATCCATCGATCAATATACCCACATGGGAGCACTTTCTTTTAAAAAGGAAAAATGTCGTCTTTGAAATTCTTGCATACCTTAATGCATATCAATAATTAATAGCATAATTGTTCCCATATGTACATAGTATAAAAGAGTTCTTTGATTAATATACCAAATATTCCACTGGTATCTAGAAATAATTAAAAAAAAGTATTTGTTGCATATATGTACTACAGACATAGTTTCAACATTTTTTATAATTTGTAGAGAGGAATATGTTCTCCTAAATTAAAAGGAATGCCACTTAAATCTAAATATTCATATTAAATTAATATCACTTTAGAAGCCAACTCTGTATTGTAGTCAACACGTTCGAAAATTCAATAAAGGGAATACCTTAATTACCAGTTTATTTCGTTTGTTCATTGAACTTTCAAGCTCCAAACAATGAGCCATAAAAAATGCGGGTAGCCGACCTACAGTTGCCAACTCGTAAATCTTGATAACTGGCCAACTTTGTATGGGTTTGGGTGTACGGTGGTAGGTTTAGAAAGTCTGCCTAAATATTTGATAAGCGTCTGGGGCGGCTAAAATGTTATTGTTAATTAGAAATGCGCATCCATGTATTATAATAAATTCAATTATTGATATGGTTATTCAAAATGTTCAGTCAGGTGATGGACAAAAGTCACTTTTTCCTTTCCATATCAAAATATTAAACTCTTATCAACATTTCCGTTTTTTTAGGTCTCTATGTGCGCAGTAAGCGGCAATTCTTTCGACTGGCCAAGAAAATACCGTCCGTGCGACGGCAAGTAGAAGCCGAGCTGAGCAAGGCGAAAAAAGACTTTGAGGCTGATATACAGAAGAACAACAGTCATTTAAGCTATTCTCTACAGCTTCCAGAGCAGGGTCTAAGCAAGGAGCAGATATTGAGTCTGGTGGACGATCATCTGAATGCGGGACATTATAATTGGCGCGATGGACACGTCTCCGGTGCCGTTTATGCCTTCAAGCCTGAGCTAGTCGAATTGGTTACGGAGGTGTACGGCAAGGCGTCTTACACGAATCCCCTGCATGCAGATCTTTTTCCGGGCATATGCAAAATGGAGGCTGAAGTGGTGCGCATGGCCTGTACGCTGTTTCATGGTGACAAGAACAGCTGCGGCACAATGACCACCGGCGGCACCGAATCCATTCTGATGGCCATGAAAGCGTATCGAGATTATGCACGCGAGCGCGGCATTAATAAGCCTAACATTGTGGTGCCACGCACAGCGCATGCGGCCTTCGACAAGGGCGGCCAGTACTTTAACATACATGTCCGCTATGTGGACGTTGATCCCAAAACCTATGAAGTGGACATGCAGAAATTTACGCGTGCCATCAACAGCAATACTATATTGGTAGGTTCTTCAAGCATCCTAGAAAAAACTATTACTTCTAATAAATACTCGTGTGCAGCTCGTTGGATCCGCGCCCAATTTTCCGTATGGCACCATCGATAACATCGAGGCTATTGCTGCTTTGGGTGTCAAGCACGACATACCCGTACATGTGGACGCTTGTTTGGGCAGTTTTCTTGTCGCTCTGGTGCGTCATGCAGGTTACTCGATTCGCCCATTCGACTTTGCTGTGCAAGGTGTGACGAGCATCTCGGCCGATACGCACAAATACGGATTTGCGCCTAAAGGATCTTCTGTTATATTGTACTCAGAGAAAAAATTCAAAGACCATCAGTTCACGGTCACCACGGACTGGCCAGGTGGTGTGTATGGCTCGCCAACCGTAAATGGATCGCGCGCAGGCGGCATCATTGCCGCTTGCTGGGCCACGATGATGAGTTTTGGGTACGATGGATATCTGGAGGCCACCAAGCGCATTATGGACACAGCTCGCTACATAGAACAGGGGTGAGCTCACTTTTTGTAGTTCCATCGAATCATTATTTAATTTGTTGCCTTCCAGTGTACGCAAAATTGATGGCGTTTTTGTGTTTGGCAAGCCCGCCACCTCAGTAATTGCTCTTGGTTCCAATGTTTTTGACATATTCCGTCTATCTGATTCCCTTTGTAAGCTGGGCTGGAACCTAAACGCGTTGCAGTTTCCATCAGGGTAAGTTCGATTTATTGTAGTAAGCAGGCCCCTTATCTTAATTCTTCACCAACACCCCACAGCTTACACATCTGCGTAACGGATATGCATACAGCACCAGGCGTAGCTGATAAATTCATAGACGATGTGCGCAGTTGTACTGCTGAGATCTTGAAGGATCCTGGCCAGCCCGTCGTAGGCAAAATGGCCTTATATGGCATGGCCCAGAGAGTTCCGGATCGTTCAGTGATTGGTGAAGTGACGCGTCTCTTCTTACACTCTATGTACTACACGCCTGAGCAGTGATTCGCATTTCCAAATTGGTTGCCACCTAATTCTTTTAGCGATATTATTCAAAGTCGTAATATCACGCACTAGCTTTATGTACTTTTGTTTTTGTCTAGTAACTTAAACTATATTGTAAGCTACGAACTTCCTAACACCATTCAAATAAATTACTGTATATACGTATGTGTATGTTGTCTTTGAATCCAATAATTAACTTCTAATCTGAATGTTACTAAAACTTTTAACTCGGTTTTGAGCTACTCGTATATTGTAAGAAGTATAATGAGTGAAAGCCTATGTCTGTAAAGTTTTTGTTAATCATACATACACTACTTTAGACTAAATCTTTAACAAATGACAATATTAATAAAAACCTTGCCGAAACATAATTTAATTCACTAAAAGAACAGAAATAGAATTCTCTGCTAGTTCAAATGGATCTTAGATTTATGGTTTTGTAATATTAAAGACTAAAAATAAATTTGAAAAACTCATGATATATGTATAATATTTTCTGTTAATTCTCATTGACATACATAAAACACAAATAACTGCCTAGGATTCACAAATAAGGGCTGCCTGCCCATTCTGTCTTAAATAGGAGCTATGAATTGACAAGCAGCTAACTCTTCAGGGAGCTCTACAAACAATGAACTTCTAGCGATGAAAACGGTTTCTTAGTTGGAATTTGAATATAATAGCATTCCTTTATTCCAAATTGGATTGCTTTTAGCTTATATTAATACTGATAAATGGATAAGTTGTTTATTAATAAACTACAAATAGTTCGCTCATGAATTAATTACTTATACACATCCGTTTGATTATTTTAATATGTTCCAGGTTCCAAAAAGAACAAATCTATGCATACGTACTATGTATGTATGTATATTTCGTATTCTTGATCAGTAAAGATCTTTCAAACAATTTTCTTTACCTTTGTAAAAAGTTAATGTCTTGATCAAATTTATACTTTAGCTGTGTATGCAATTAGTATATACCATGTGTATATGAGTATATGTATGTATGTACATACATATGTACATATATGTGCAAGTATGTTTGTATGTATGTAAATGTTATTGATATGCGTCGGCGTGGGCCATTCGCCGTAGCCGATTGTCACTTGGCACGCGTCGGCGTTGTCTTAGCTTAGTTGTGGTTGTTTTTGTCTTCAGGTACTACTATACTTATAACATGACACGCCCATTTCCTGCACATTGTTGCTGCGCTGGCGGCCGTTTTCTAATTTATGTTTGTTTATTTTATAATACATCTATTTTTCTTAAACAAACTTCAGTAGCGGAAGCATTTATTTTTAATTGCTTTACAAATATGAGTGTGTGTGACAACAACAACAATATCATCAAAGGCGATCGGTCCCATTCGCTTAAATTGTTGTCAAAGGTGTCAGGTGAGACGGGCAAGTTTCGAAGTGTTGAGCAGTAGTTAAAAATAGAGATGACTGGCGTGAAACAAGTGCAGGGCTAGCCCCATAGCTCAGCACATCATTTATTGCATATGTATTCAATTTTGTTTTTATGCTGGCCAAACAAATTAAAGAAGAGCGCAACGTTAAATTTAGCGCAGGTGTGCGCAATTACAACAACATGGGCGAATGAAACTTGCCATATTAGCACGAAGCGTCGCACAACAATAAAAACGAAGATCAAGACAACGCCGAGAAAAGCAGTCAAGCAGTCGGCAGTCAACAATAAAAGCCAAAAAGTCACACTGCGTCGACACCCACACTCAAATGGCTGTAACAATTCGCTGCAGCGATGCCAGCAACAAAAACAAAATTGTCACACAAGAGCTCGCCACGCAGCACGAGGCGCATAATAAAATTTTAAGATACATTTTTGTGCAGCCAAAAAAGCCAAACAGCAAAAATAAAATGAAACCGGTGTTGCCAAAATACAAAAATGTTATAATCTTAAAAGCACAACACACAGGTAAAGCAGCGCTGTCGGTGCCTCTGTTGCTGTTGCTGTTGCCGTCGCTGTTGACGCCGACGCATAGTAACAGCAACAACAGCACGCAGCTGCGGCGGTGGCTTCATTCGTCTCGCGTTCGTTGCGCGCCTCAGACGTCAGCGTCGGGTGTCGAGCCGCTCAATAGAAACGTAAATAAGTTTAAATTGGATAATAAACTGCTGACTGAAGCAAAGTAAAACCGGCTTGTTAATTCGATATTCCTACAAAAGTATTTTCGAAATATGCATATGTATGCATAATAATAAATTAACAAACCTTTAAGTGCACAACAATCTTATTAAAGAATCCATAATAATAAAAGTAACAAATTGCAAGCGATAAAATACAATAAAAGTAAAATAATGTCCCATCAAGAAAATGAAAGTGTTTTGAATGTGTGTACTACTTGTACTTATAAGTGTTGATATGGTGTGCACTGTCCATATAGATTAAAATATAAATAAAAATTAAATCTATTCCCTGGAGTGTTTAATTAAGTGGCTCGCAAGGTACTTGAAAGCTAGTACTGACTTTTGGATAATTACTCTTTTGTGGTAAGTTTTATAGGCCTATCACAATTACATCCACATAGTACTTTCATATACACAAGAAGTACATGACTGGTTATAGATTTCAATTTAGATTTAGATTTAATATAAGACCATGTAAAATACAAAGTCTGTCTGCAATATTAACATATAAACTATCCACACGCAAGTAATAATATGTACTATAACATATTTATAGCCAGTAATTTAGGCATTCATTCATTAGAAACCATAAAACCCAGCTGTTATAATTCTGTGTACATATCGTTCAAAGTCTTGTACATAAGCCGATAAGGCTCCACTACAAATAAACAGCGAAATACAATAGCTTCAAATACATACATAAATAAACAAAATTTGTTATGATATAGAGGCTTCATTTCTAATATGTTAATGCATACGTCTATATGGGATTCGTTCAAAGCTGCCGACAGAATGTTACTCATAAACTAATTAAATGAAATGTAAATTAATTAGCTTATTTATACATATTTGAATTCAAATTTCATCATTTGATATTTCTGCTTGTAAAAAAACATAAATATTTTGTAAAACTTGATTATCATTGATCTGCAATACTTTAATATTAATGAACTTGGAAATTATTCAGTAGCCACATATACTTCGTGTATCCTTGTACTTTTTTAATGTTAAATCAATTTTGCAAACATAGTTCTATCAGTACTCTATACACAGTATCTTTATATATTCTTATTTAATTTACTTATTACCTTGTAGATATATCTGATCTATATAGAGTTAAACAATGATAATTTTCTTTAAAGTACACATACTTGATGCTCTTTAATATATTTTAAATCAAATTCCTGTATTTATCTTAAATATTTGAAGCAGCATAATAATATCAGCAGAACATTTTTAGAAATCTAATCTTAAAATCGATCTTTATTGTAAGACTATATTGCATTCTTTCCAATACAATTCTTAAAATTTAAAAATTAATTATTGCTTGGATAGGAAATTTGTTTAACAAAGATTTCCAAATCATTTAAAAATGTAGAATATCTAACAGATATGGGCGCGGAAATAATTCGGTTGTATATTCATTTGGAACTTTAGGTAGCTTATAGGTAATTCTAATAAATAGAAAATTTGGTATTACAATTTTAAAAACCTTCATTTACCGCAAATACCTATTTTATGATAAGCGCCAAGCGTCGTTTTCTCGCTGACTTTTGATTTTCCACTCTATGTGAATATTTATTTTTTTTATCTAACTGCGCACAACTGATAAGATATGCACACATATGCATGCTGAGTATACACAGTCCGACTTCACGGTAACGAATTCGCAAAGACATGAGATATCAGTGCTTGAAAAACTTAACTAATTATACACAATATCGGTTTTTTATAATAATAATAACTGAAAGAGAGATTGATACACATTATAAAGAGTGATATACTATATTTATACATTGTTAATAAAGTCACTGCCAGGTATAGGGCCCCATTATATTATTAAAGATGTTCAGCGGATATGCTCCAATTTTCAGCGTGAAAAGCACCAAAACGTCAATCCAAATCAAATTCCGCCAAGCTATAAAAACTTTTTAAAAATGATTAGAAAGTTTTGCGCTCTTTCTTTTCTTTTCATAAATCTTCCGTAGTGCAAAAATCGCTATATGTTTGGTCATATGCGAGTATACATACTATATGTACATATTTTTTTGGTTTGCCGGCTTTGCATGCTAAGAAGCCATCAGCGGAGCGTAATTATGGCCAAATCGCGTAATAATGTATAGATAACACCAAACTTAAATTATATGGGCATACATATGTATATCCATACATATGTATGCAGAATATAGAATAGTAAATAGAAGTTTCTAGAGGTACATATGCATGTATGTCGTTTCGGACCCCCATGTGTTGGCTGCCATTGCTTTGGCTAGTTTCCATATCTCTTAGCAACCATGGGCCGCACACAACAGCTTATAGCTATACTATATAGTTGGGAGCAGTAGCAGGACTCGGACATGGAACTCCCCAAAGAAGCACGAAGGCCGTCATCACAGCTCGTCACGGCGCGGCCTCAAACTTGTACTTGTACTGGCTCGATTAGGGGTTGGGGCAGTTGGGGCTTTAAGGTTGGTTACGGTTTCCAGGGCGCGGCTTTAATGCTTGGCGTCATGTTACATTTTTAGCTGCCACTCTATTGTAGAACTTTCCCTGCGGCCACTGCTATGTTTAATCGATAAATTGAACAGGGTCCGGACAATTTATATGCATAGTTTGTTTGTTTTCTAGCCCTTTTACTGGGAATTGTGATAATTGTGCGCCAAACAACTGATTTTATTATTGGCGTAAATAGTGATTGTGTGGACTGAGGGAACTGGCCGGTGAGGGGTGAGATGTGGGAGTTGCTTCTGAGACAGCCGCTTGTTGAGGTCGTTAAGTTTCATTTCTAATTATTCTGAGCGTGTTTCAGCTTGGGCGCACATTTGAGTTTTGAAATTTTTGCGACGCAGTTTAAAGTTGCGCCATTTCCATGAAATCGATGAATTATGATACAGATTAGTAATTGCTTCAAGATCTCCTTACATGATATGCAATGAATATTTAATTTCTACTTGTATCTCAATTATTTTTATCAAATTAAGCAATAATATATTAAATATTTGCATATTGTTTTACAAACCTGAAGTTTTCTATAAAATGACTAACTCCTGTGTACTCTGTACTCTTGTCTCTCAACCCTACAACAATTACCTTTATTATACCAATTGTTTACTCAGGCAACTATGTATATACATATATGATACAGTCCATAGTTTGCATTAAACTTGCATTTGGGCTACAGAGATTTTTTGAATAAAATGAATAGTTCTTTTGAAATGTTAT